TTTGAATATTACATGTTAATAACTTGATTGGAATTATAACCTTGAGTTGACAGTTTGATACTTTGAAAATTTTGAGCCAGCCCTACCCCCAAGGGCTGTAGGGTGGGGCTCAAGGGAGTCAGTGTGCTAAAATTTCTTCATTTTCCTTGTTTAGAATCAGAGGTGCTAGTTTCAAATCCTTTTTAGTCTGAAATCTGTATGCTTGATATTGAATAAGGTGGTTTTATTGTTTTTTGTCACTTTGAATAATATTTCTGTTCATGTTAAAAACGAAATCAACTCTCTGTATAAATATATCAGGTGACCGTTAAGGCCCATGGGCCTCTTGTTGTTCATATTTTCTGAAAATAATCATTATGAATCCCAGGACTTGTATTTTTGTTTCCAGTTGTAATAGTTACAAAATCTATCGGTAAATTAATGTGTACGTTAATTGATCAGTAAGCCAGTGTTTGATATAGCTGTAGACTTGTATTTTTGTTTCCAGTTGTAATAGTTACAAAATCTATCAGTAAATTAATGTGTACGTTAATTGATCAGTAAGCCAGTGTTTGATATAGCTGTAGATACATGTACTCGGATGTTACTACAGTATTGATACTGACTGTACTCCTCTGTACTGTAGAGTACGTCTCCCCGACAGGTCGGTTCCACGCCTGGGAACTCCACTCACATCGTCAATGTAAACCAGATTTTGTTTACCTAGCTACAGTAGTGGTTTATATTACCCTCCACAAGTTTTGTAGCTGTGATTTATTTGTAATAGTGTATTTAAATGATTTTCTCTTGTGCACCTGTTAGTGTAGGGTTGATTGTGAATTCTTCACCCTTTTTACATCTTTAATTTTCTGCGATAGCTTACTGCTTTTTCCTATGACCAAGGTTGACTGGATGTTGACATTAGATTGATAAAGTGTAGTTTAAGGATCTTGTGTAAAATATTTTAGAAATGGATCATAATATTGACGAGAATAGTTAATTAGAATGCATTTCAAATACTGAAGAATTCACAAGTTATTTCATGCCTTCAATTTTCAGCACCATCAACTATTATTGAGACTTTTGTTGACAATCTTTTGAAGTATTTCCTAATAATATCTGCTTATTTTCTAGTCTACAAAAGTTGCAATATTTTCTAGATTCTGCAACAACCTTGGATCATTGACATTAATTAGTACCTACAATAGTTTTCTACAATCAAAATATTATTTTTATCAAACTTTAATCTCAGTTGGTAGTAGAAATAATAAAAAACAAGCATAAACAAATCGCCATATTTTTTTAATAACTTTTTACCGGTAATTTGCAAAATCAAAAACCTCACAATTTTCTTTTTAATACAAATAAGCAAAAATACTGTACATGTTTATAATTCTGAATTTAAGGGGGGAAAAGTTGTTACCTTAATTTACAAAATAGGAAATTGCTAAAGGGAAAATTTATTAAATTGTATTTTATTGATTGTAAGTGATCCGAGGTTGTATTTAGAAAAATTCTTCTATTAATCACACAAGCTTTTACTTAAGACTTCCGTAATATTTCCACTGTTGTGTAATTAACCAAGTATCGTGTCCGACAGGCTACGTTCCGCCAAATGACCTAGGTATGTCAGCGCGCCAAGGGACCGGCACGCCAAGATCTCTGCTCCAAGCCAACACAGCATTCATAGGTTGGTTCTGCATGTGTTTTACTTACTGGGTGTGGCATTGTTCTAATTAAACCTGGGCATGGTCATCCTTAATCCTACACTGGAATTTGGCATGTTTCATATTTCCTACAGCATTGTAACCAGTAATATTTTATTGATGAAATGTGGATGCAATAACAAAATTATTTAACTAGCATGCACCAGAGAATGTGAGAAAAGTTACCTTGTAACGTAGTGGAATAAAGCTAGAATTTTATGATAGAAGTGGTTACTGGTTTGTAGCCCAAGTATATACAATATTTAGTTGTTGGGTAAAGTGTTTTTTTAAAGTATCGGATGTTGGACTATATATATAACACATGTAAAAGTCAATGTTCATATTGTATCTATACGAAACATTCTATAACACTACAATCACATATATCTAAATATATAAAAGCAGGCTACATTTTGTATGTGTGTAGGAAGTAGGAAGCTTAAGGTGTACAATCATCAATTATGGACTTCAGTCGAGGTGAAGGTGAGTTTAGAATATATGACCTGATAATGTGATATTGACCGAGACAAAGTCAGGTTAATATAACTTTTTAGGTTCATAAATTCACAAATTCACCGAATTAAAAGTAAGTAATTGTTACAAATAAACAATGAAGAACATATGAAAATCTTCAGGAGAAAAGTACTGCATTTGGCCGAAAGCATTGTGACATTTCAATTTAAGTGAAACGTCATAAAGAGAATATCGACCTGCTGTTTCTAAGGAGAGTTTGAAATCATGAATACATTGAAAATGTAGGAAAATATTGTGTCATCTATTATGGAACAAAATATGCATTCTTGCCAACTCTCCCTATTTTAGAGGGAGACTCTCGATTTTGGACCCTAGAACTGAGCATTTTCAACCAGTGAATTTGCTAAACTATTCTTATTTTCTTAGATCTGATGATTTCATTTGAGAGAACTGCCCAAAATATGTCTTTTTAAGTGTTATTTTCCCCTAGGGTGTACATATTCATGCTTTTATAAGTTTTAATTATGAGCACACATAATCTTCCTCATGGAAATATGCATGTGGGATCGAGGGTACATTGTACATATATGGATATATAAGGGATATATAATATACATATAAGGGTGTGGGAAGAGCCTACAAACACCATATATGGAAGTGGGAAGGGTCACGCCCACCTGTACAATTCCTACCCCTTTGGATTGTGTGATGTGTGTACCCCGATTCGATGTAAACAATTTGACAGCAAGAATGTGCTCTTTAAAGTACATAAATAATAAAGTTATAGCAGAATTATTAGACTAGAGAACAGACGTACATTTGAATATTTTATGAATAGTTACCAGGCTTATGAAAACTTAATACTCCTTATACATTAACACACTAACTAACCCAAAGATTACCTTATCAATTGACACAGTGTATATATAGTTCTCCTCGTTAACACACTAACCAAACCAAAGATTACCTTATTAATTGACACAGTGTATGTATGGATTGTATAGTTCTCCTTGTTAACATTACATGTTACCAATTGTATTCCTAGCTCACAATTATTAACCCAAAAGACAATAGAATAATTATTTCTATTTTATTCATTTTTTTGGTTCACAGATACTATTACAAATTTTTGTTATTAGGAAAAATGTATGCACATTTATTTTTCATGTAGGTAAATATGATGTTACATGTTTTGTGAAATATAATTATTGTATCATGAGATATGTTTACAAATGTATAAGAATATTTACTATTCTTTTAAAATTTTATTCGACTTAGAACAGAAAAATTCTCTTACAAAATGTGTATTTAACATTACTTTTTATATATAATAAAAAGTTAAATGTTCATGTATCTTGGGGCTCATCAGGTGATTTGAATTTTGCTATACATGTATATTATGATATACCGGTAGTGTTAAACTTGATGTAATTGTTGATCAATTATACAAACGTGATCGTGGGGAACCAGTTTGAGATGTTAGTGTTATTCTCATGACCTCATAGAGAGATTTGTATTCCAACAGATGTAGAAAATGTTAATCACTTCCCGGAGGACTTCGACGACATGCCAAAGAGGAATGATTCTGCCCGCTTTAGGAGGAGGGAACGGGCCACACCCCTGGTAAGTTGTACTAGCTGTGTCTTGTGAAGGGAAAATTGACCCAAGCTAAATCCATCGAAATGGAAATTTGAAAGTTTTGGTGTTGTCATCAATTTATTTTTTGTTTCATTTACGCCAAGTAGATTTTACGACACAGTCTTTGCCTGATATTGATCAGTTGCCCTTTGTTAATGTTGTTGGTTTAAAACTAAAGATTACTTGATAAGTTGACCGCGATGAATGGATGGTGTTCCAAGCATGATCTCGGGAGGATTTGCCTTGAGTAGGCCATAATTGTAACCACATCAGCATTCAATATTTAAGGCAGTGTTTTCACCTGTGACTGCAGTGACAGTCTTTGTAGTATAAAGCTGTCCAAATGAATAACATAAGCCTGCATTTCTAAATGGGCTGTTAACAAATTATAACAAAAAAAGGATTTGTTCTTTAGAAATATTTAGTCTTTAGATATAGATACTGGTGATTGAAATGATACCATAAACTCAATACTGATTTCACAATCAGGAATGTATTGAAAAAGATAAATACCTGGTATGGCTTTTTATGATGAAATTTGAATGTAACAAAATTTGTAAATTTTACTAGAAATAGAGATATCAAAAACTAATGTAAGAAAACTGTCAGAACTTTGGGAGAGTGCAGTTTTAATATGGTATTTACCATGTACCAACCTTAAAAAGAGCAAAATTTTCATCATGTTATGAAAATCAAGAAAGATGAAATTAGTGTACGGTATACTTTCAAAGGTTAAAATGAGGTAAAATTCTAAATTCAACTAGTTATTGTGTAAGGAAAACTAGTGTTAGGTTCAACTGAAATTCATGTTAGGATACTGCTAAGTTTTGCTATGTTCTGTGTCCACAGCATGATCTGGCTGGCCCGTCCAATGTGATGGGGTCCGTATCTAGTCTGGATGTCGACAGACTGCAGAGGAAGAACGACGCCAGGATCAGACGCTTACAGCAGATGAACGGTCAGTTTGATACATTTCTGTTTGTAAAATAATCCTCCATTTCGATAAAGTTAACATTGCTTTTGTCCACAATTTTCATTTTTCCTTTTGTCTTCATGTTTTTGAGTCAGTAATTGTGTTCAGGTTCATATGTGATTGCGATTTTCTTTCCTTCAGAATTTCAGTAGGTAGTAAAATGTTTTTTCCTATCAAAGCAGACTTTGACAACGATGTCGTATTATTACTTACAGCTGATGAGGTTTCGATGGCAGACCCTGATGAAATTCTAGAAAACTTCATGGCCAAGCAGAGATATAACAGGTAAGTGTGGTAGTTGTACAGTCAGTTGAAACAACTTCTTCAAAACAATGATGTCTTGAGTCATATTTGTCCTGTTGCTTGCAAGGTTGGAGGACTATCTTGTTTGTTCATTTAAATAACCTTGACCTACTTTCATGTCAAAGGGTTCTTATGTTTTGGAAACACAAACAAACAAACAAAACGGTAATACATTAAGGCTTATGTTCCTATTGTCTGGGATTATCGCACCTGTTTACAATGTGGTGTGTTTCTCATTGCAGACCGCCATCTGGACAAACCCTTCAGGACGATACGTGGCTACAACCAGGCAATAAACAGTTATAACGTCTCCCTAGCTCTCTAGTGCTTTAATATTTATATAAATATCGAAAAGGACGATTTCAATACATATCAAACCTGCCAGCATAAACAGACTCAAGACTGGACAATGGGTCTGGGTGAAATCGTGTTCACGATACGGCCAGATGTTGTGACATTTAAACGGCCAACCAGGAAAACTCAAAGTACAGAAGTGTTTTCCACTGGATGTGAACGTTTTCATGGAAAGTTTGTTCATGTGAAATGACAAAAATATTGACGAATATTTACATGTATAATTGTGGATATGTAACCATGGAAATGGGGAAAAAAAGAAACAGACTTGGCTACAAACTGTCCATACCAAATCTGAGGGTTCGGAAACAAAATGCTGTTATGTACAATGTGATTCCGGGGTGACAGGCACCAGGTTTTTACCCTAATCAAATCATTTGTTTTGTAATACAGATAATATAGGAATCAGGAATATTGGTGTGGCCAACTTTCCCCAATATGGATATCATTCATGGAAATTAAAGACGCATACAATCCATGATAATCTATATACCGGGGGTATATATTTTTATTGGCCCATTCCATGATTTTCCTCATCCTGGTGATAAAATTGAGACTTTGCTTTATAGCTACATTGTAGTATCCTAGATGGACCAATAAGCATGTAGATATTAATATGTAGAATAATTCAGTTTGTTCCATTGTACTGGCACAGTGTGTCACAGGGACCACGAAGTTATATGTCCATTTGTCCGTCCGAAGCATTGGAAATATATTCAATGTCAAATTGTTGTTTATATCATTAACTGTTTTGTTTGTTGTATTTTTGAACATTACAGTAAAGCTTTTTTTAAATGTCTATGATATTCATTTTTGGGGGATTTTCTTTTAAGAATGAAAGATTAACTTGACAAGACAAGAACGGTCAAGAAAACAATTTTGGTAAAGTCAACAAATAATTTAGAACATAAAAAAAATAATTAATAAAAAATAATTAATAAAAAATATTTGTGATATTTAAAAGGGAAAAAAGGAAATTTCAAATTCAAATATATTGTAGAAGACTTTTTTATTGTATTGATATTTTTTTTTAAGTTTGTCATATAGAATTTTTTTGCAAGCTTTTGAATTTTGTTCTATGTATGGTGAACACAGAAACACAATACAAAGTGGCCTTCTGTGTCAAAATCAGATGTATTGCTAGACATACACCTATTGTGTTTGTACATCAGCTTTATTTATTGTTCTCCCAGACTGTGATATTTGTTAAAATGATGTCCTATATAAGTTAGTGAAATATTACCCAGGTAATAATAAATTCAGCACTTGTTAGTATGTATTGCACTTACCCCTCCAAATATAATTTATTGATACAAAATGTTTGTTTTACATTATGCTAATTGTACAATACTGATTATGTTCCCTAAACTATAGCTGTTTTGTGGGTCGTCCTGACCATGATATCGGGATGAGAGAAGTTATGTACTAGTAGCACAAAGTTAGATTAAGCTAAGCCAGTGATACTAGTAAGCTATGTTCATTTTGTGTCCAACATTTCAGAAGTATTTTCATCTTTGGTTCGTTGGGAGGGGTAGGTACGGAAGTGATATCATACTGATCACAGGAACTTGTAATGAGTTATAGCAGACAGTACCTGTGACAGAAACGCTCCTCCATATGTATGTTTAATTCAGATGTCAATAATTATAAATATGCACATGTAATGATGATATTCATAACTTCTTGTAAATTTCTGGGAACTAGTTCCAGAATGACTTCCTATTCAATATTTATATCAAATATGGGAAGCAGACGACAAGGCCCCGAGCTTTTGACAAGAGATATTACTTTGCACTGTTTGAGAAGTTGTCCTTCTCTTTACTAGCCAATTTTCTTGCTAAATAATAAATTCCTACACTAGTACTACATGTACTGGACTGATTTTTCATTACCACCACTTTTTGATATATATGTCCCGATGAAGAAAAAGAAACATATTTTCATAAAATGTCTGCTTCCTGCACTTCCACTAGAAAAATTCTGCTCAATAATTTTTACACTATGGTATATGGTTCAACTAGTTTGTTTCTATATAGATGATGGTTGACAGACATTGTGAAGTCTTCAGCCTTGTTTGTGATCCAGTAGGTACATTGATGTGGGTACCTATAAGTATCGGTGCTATCATTTTATAACAGCCTTGACCTTTTATCATTTTGGACAAAAAACAGTTAGGTATCAATATTTCAAGTTTTTGAAGCAAAATACAGCAAAGCTAAATAAATCTTGCTTCACAGTTTCGTGATCTACAAAACTTTATTACTTCAGAATTTTTTTGTCGCTTAATTAATTTCACATCATGCAAATGAAAAATGTGTTTTGTTTATGCTTTGGTTGCTCAAAAAATAAGGGTAGTAGGTAGGCAAAATATGTTTGTACAAGATTTTTACAGCCGTTGTATAGAAAAGACATTTCAAACTTTAACAATGCTTAATTATCTCAAATAAATGAATTATGACTGATATTGGCACTAAAATCAAGGCACTTTAGGAAAAGCAGGAACATATTTTTTGGACTTACTTAGCATAAATGTACCATTAATATTTACCTTAATTATTTATTAGGTTGTTATGTTGATTATAGCATTAATTTATCTTCCCCTCATTTATTTATCCGTCCAGACATGAAGTGCATTTATCAATACGATGTCATGTATTATAATTATGTAATTATAGAGGTAAATATTATATCACGTTTACCAGATTACCATCATTGTAGAAACTCAAACATTCCTTTGTTATCAGGGGAAATTTGAATAATGATATTTTAAGTAAAAATGTTGTCACAAATCAGTATTGTGTTGTGTTATTATTTGAGATTGGTGTTATTGGCTGTCGAGGAAAAGATCAACTTGAGGGACGGAACAACGATGATCACATCATTTAACCAGAACTGCGGTATCTCAATATCTATATGTGCATAGTGAAGAAAAACATCAATCATATGTAAATGGTAAATATTCATGATGTAGGGAAGATAATACATGATTTTTCATTTCATACTTATTATGACATTTATGAAACAAGTCATTTATGTTTTTGATGTAGGTACATGTACCAGTAATGAAGTATCTCTCGATCTCTGTTCATTAGCTGTCTTTCGGGTTAGTTCCTGTCTATGAAATAATTATTTACAAACAAGGGAATTTTAAGCTTCAATATAGAATTGTATTCCAGACAGCTGTTGTAGTTATGACAAGTAAAAGGGAAAGCATGATCACATATGCTGGACACAAGTTTCTTTCTGTTCCAACTTGGCAAAAATTCCACCAGCTCAAAAATGTGGTTAAGATTTTCCAATGGTTTAGTGTATAGACAAACTCATGGCATCCCAATAGGTTGTGATGCCGTCCTTAACTATATAATATGAATCTATTACATAACTAAACCTTCAAGTTGTTGATATTGCATTAAGGAGCCTGTAACCCTGCCAAAACTTGTAACTAAATATTGAAGACTGTTTTCCTACGATGTTTATAGATTTGATGAATCATTTCTGAAAAAGAAAACCACACCTTGTGGATTTTTTATGAAAAATAATAAAGCTGAAATGGGTTTAGAAATGCAATGAGGCCAGATCAGATTCGACCCTGGATCTCTGATCAGTATACTGTTGTTCTAGCCAACTGATGAGCTACCTGGTCAACAGTAGTACCAGGTCCAGTCACACTGCAGTTATATCTAAAAATATACTAAGGGGAGGTAACTTTATGTTCATATAACTAGTGGAATTCTCCAGTGTTTACCAGCAGTGGGACAGGCACCCTTAACTGAAGCTGTGTATTTTGGAGGTAAAAACTAATGACTCTTCTTTCGTGACGTCAAACTGCAAATGGAAGTTGAATGCTACAAAGCTATCCTAGTTGTGATGTCACAATGGAAATAAATAGCTGATCACAGCTCAGACCGCTGCGATTTAATAAAATATGATACTTTTAAGTATTTACATAATTACACTTGTGATTAAAACAACTTCTACAGAATCTTGTCATATGGTCACGAGTTATGATAAACCTGAGTGGAACTCTCCGTGATTATATCTGATGAAGTTGTCCGCTCTCTCCGTGATTATATCTGATGAAGTTCTTCCCTCTCTCCGTGATTATGTCTGATGAAGTTGTTCCCTCTCTCAGTGATTATATCTGATGAAGTTATCCCCTCTCTCAGTGATTATATCTGATGAAGTTATCCCCTCTCTCAGTGATTATATCTGATGAAGTTCTTCCCTCTCTCCGTGATTATGTCTGATGAAGTTGTTCCCTCTCTCCGTGATTAAATCTGATGAAGTTGTTCCCTCTCTCCGTGATTAAATCTGATGAAGTTGTCCCCTCTCTCCGTGATTATGTCTGATAAAGTTGTCTCCTCTCTCTGTGATTATGTCCCCTCTCTCAGTGATTATGTCCCCTCTCTCAGTGATTATATCTGATGAAGTTGTCCCCTCTCTCCATGATTATGTCCCTCTCTCAGTGATTATATCTGATGAAGTTGTCCGCTCTCTCCGTGATTATATCTGATGAAGTTCTTCCCTCTCTCCGTGATTATGTCTGATGAAGTTGTTCCCTCTCTCCGTGATTAAATCTGATGAAGTTGTCCCCTCTCTCCGTGATTATGTACCCTCTCTATGTGATTCTATCTGATGAAGTTGTTCCCTCTCTCCATGATTATATCTTATGAAGTTTTTCCCTCTCTCCTTGATTATATCTGATGAAGTTGTTCCCTCTCCGTGATTATATCTCATGAAGTTGTTCCCTCTCTCCGTGATTATATCCCGTCTCTGTGATTATGTCCCCTCTCTCCGTGATTCTATCTGATGAAGTTGTTCCCTCTCTCCATGATTATATCTTATGAAGTTTTTCCCTCTCTCCTTGATTATATCTGATGAAGTTGTTCCCTCTCCGTGATTATATCTCATGAAGTTGTTCCCTCTCTCCGTGATTATGTCTGCTGAAGTTGTTCCCTCTCTCCGTTATTATGTCCCCTCTCTCTGTGATTATGTCCTATCTGATGAAGTTGTCCCCTCTCTCCGTGCTTATATCTGATGAAGTTGTTCCCTCTCTCAGTGATTATATCTGATGAAGTTATCCCCCCTCTCAGTGATTATATCTAATGAAGTTATCCCCCCTCTCAGTGATTATATCTAATGAAGTTATCCCCCCTCTCAGTGATTATATCTGATGAAGTTATCCCCCCTCTCAGTGATTATATCTAATGAAGTTATCCCCCCTCTCAGTGATTATATCTGATGAAGTTGTCCCCTCTCTCCGTGATTATGTACCCTCTCTATGTGATTCTATCTGATGAAGTTGTTCCCTCTCTCCATGATTATATCTGATGAAGTTGTTCCCTCTCCGTGATTATATCTGATGAAGGTGTTCCCTCTCTCCGTGATTATATCCCCTCTCGGTGATTATGTCCCCTCTCTCCGTGATTATGTCCCCTTTCTCCGTGATTATGTCCCCTCTCTCCGTGATTATGTCCCCTTTCTCCGTGATTATGTCCCCTCTCTCCGTGATTATGTCCCCTCTCTCAGTGATTATGTCCCCTCTCTCTGCGATTATGTCCCCTCTCTCTGTGATTATGTCCTATCTGATGAAGTTGTCCCCTCTCTCCGTGATTATGTCCCCTCTCTCAGTGATAGTATCTGATAAAGTTGTCCCCTCTCTCCACAATTTTATCTGAAGTTGTTCCCTCTCTCCGTGATTATGTCTGATGAAGTTGTTCCCTCTCTCCGTGATTATGTCCCCTCTCTCTGTGATTATGTCCTATCTGATGAAGTTGTCCCCTCTCTCCGTGATTATGTCCCCTCTCTCCGTGCTTATATCTGATGAAGTTGTTCCCTCTCTCCATGATTATATCTGATGAAGTTGTTCCCTCTCTCCGAGATTATATCTGATGAAGTTGTTCCCTCTCCGTGATTATATCTCATGAAGTTGTTCCCTCTCTCCGTGATTATGTCCCCTCTCTCAGTGATAATATCTGATAAAGTTGTCCCCTCTCTCCACAATTTTATCTGAAGTTGTTCCCTCTCTCCGTGATCCGTGATTATATCTGATGAAGTTGTCCCCTCTCTCCGCTACAGAATCTTGTCATATGGTCACGAGTTATGATAAACCTGAGTGGAACTCTCCGGGATTATATCTGATGAAGTTGTCCGCTCTCGCCGTGATTATATCTGATGAAGTTGTCCCCTCTGTCCGTAATTATGTCCCCTCTCTCAGTGATTATATCTGATGAAGTTCTTCCCTCTCTCCGTGATTATGTCTGATGAAGTTGTTCCCTCTCTCCGTGATTTTATCCCCTCTCTGTGATTATGTCCCCTCTCTCCGCGATTATATCTGATGAAGTTGTTCCCTCTCTCCGTGATTATATCCCCTCTCTGTGATTATGTCCCCTCTCTCCGTGATTATATCTGATGAGGTTGTTCCCTCTCTGTGATTATATCTGATGAAGTTGCCCCCTCTCTCCACGATTTTATCTGAAGTTGTTCCCTCTCTCCGTGATTATGTCTGCTGAAGTTGTTCCCTCTCTCCGTGATTATGTCCCCTCTCTCTGTGATTATGTCCCCTCTCTCAGTGATTATGTCCCCTCTCTCAGTGATTATGTCCCCTCTCTCTGCGATTATGTCCCCTCTCTCTGTGATTATGTCCCCTCTCTCAGTGATTATATCTGATGAAGTTGTTCCCTCTACCTAAGTCCCGTCTAATTACAATCAATTCATCTATTACTAGTAATTTACGACAGGTTTGTTTGGTACCATGTTATATCCATATAATATATAGAAGTAGCAGATTTTATTATGTTTTATATATTTTTATTATGCCGACGCTATCACACACATTTTCAGACACAAAGTGATACGATGATATTGAAGTTATGGTATCTTATATTCTCATTTAGACTTTTATAGGAAAATGTTGACAATTTCCTTATATCCATGCAAAAATTCAGCTCGTTATAGTTTTATCAACGACTGATATTCCGTGTCCACACGATGACCTGTAGGATTGTGTAGGCTGTATACAGGTCCTATAACTCTAGGCATCCTACTTCTGTAAACGAATTTGCTAAGCTTTAAACCCTGATGTCCTTGAAAGCAAGAATTTCATGGGAGTGGATGTGTCGCCTGCTCAGCACTTTTAGTAATAAAAGTGTTTTGGCTGGAGTTATCGCGTAAACAGATATGCCAAAACACAGAAAGTTGAAACTCGTAATATATGTTGAACATTATGCTTCTAGCATTACCATACAAAATTTGAAAAGAATTGATTAAAAAATAAAAAAAGTTCTTGCATTTACTACACAATGCCCTTATTTGGCAAAAAAAGGAGCATTGCTCCACCAAAAACGCACAGAAACCTTGTTTCGGACGACGCAACCGACAAAGTAATACCTATATGTCGCCTCGTGTTGCAGGCGACGCAATGATAAGTCAAGGTCATTATTTTGAACAGATCTGTACAGCCCTTCATCTGCTTTCAGGGTCACAGGTTTGCTACGTAAACAGAAGATTGAAGAAGCACCATCACATGTCGAATTTACAATAACAACATCAAAACTGATTTGTTTACGTAATGATTTATCTCCATAGCACATGTTGCACATAATTATCTGTGACATCATATAAGATTGGCAGTGATCATGACAGAATTGGTGAACCAGTACTACAAAACTGGAGAGATTTACCACAGAATAAACATCACATGGTCTAGATGTATACTCAGTTATATCATCAGAACTGAAAAATAAAATTTGGAATATGCCACCTTTCCATTATTGTACCATGAAATATGTGATCATACCAGGTATCTACTTAAATAACACCGAGTCATTTGTAAACAATTTCTGTGAGACCAACATTACATACACGATATGGTCATTGGCATTTATACAATTGCAATCGTCTTCTAGCTTCCTATTATAGAAAGCAGCGGACTGAGAAGTTGGGGGCTGCTGTTTTAATCCCCAGAGGAAGCACACTACTCTCTTTCCTGCTACAGTTATCCTTTAAATCTGAGGATTCCTGGTGATGAAATTAATAAAATTAATAATATGAGGAGTTCACCATGATAAATGAATAGCATGATATAATAACAATGAAAATAGATAACATATAAAAGTACAAATACTAATAATATCCCTAAAACCGGTATCACAGACGCACGACAGACAGAATTTCAACATCATTCAAATCAGTTATCCTCCTAGGATTTAAATCTCACCTTTACACTGCTCAGTCACCTGTACACTGCTCAGGCACCTGTACACTGCTCAGTACCTGTACACTGCTCAGTACCTGTACACTGCTCAGGCACCCAATACAACAGAAACAGTCATACATCTTTGTGATCCCCAAGTTAGACTGAAGACTGGCGATTGAAACAATTTCTTAAAATCAAATTTTCAAAAAGAAATCTTAAAATCAATTTTCAAACTTCTGTAGGCCATAAAATTGCCTCTTTCTGTTGTTTTTTTTATTAAAGTCATTGGGATCACAAACTTTTTCTTAAAAAAATATATAATAAGATAATATTGATGCCCAGGAACCAAAAATGGCTCATAAGGGAAAATAAATAATCAGTTGATTTGTGTACCTTTGATAAAACTTAAGTTTAAAGAAGACATGAAAAGCTCGTTTTCTGTAACATTCCAGATATCGTATTTCAGTTCTGCTGAACTACAAAGTTATAATACATTCACCTTCACCGACACATAATAAGCATGCCGTTTGCCTTTCCGATTAGGTTCAAATAAAACTAAAATAAATTACAATATTCAAGTTATTTTCTTTGAAATATGGAAATATACAAAAAAAATGCAACATAGTATCTACTTCATCAAATGAGTAACATATTTTTTTCACAAAGTATAACTTCGTCCAGACATTCTGGTAAAAGCATTGTAACAGATTACCGGTACATCTCATTTAAAATATTTTTCATTCAACATTCAGGACACCATACACAGAACATGTATTACAGGGGAAAACTTGCCTGTTTTCAGCGTCGCTTTCATAGAGAATGTTTTAAAAGCAAATATCATCAGTTAAAACAATATATACAATATATCAAGCGGAACAAAACAAATTTTAAACCTTTTATATCAAACTTTTTAATCTTTTCAATCTTGAAAGAACTAACTTGATCATAAAACCAAGTTAATTTAACTTGTTTTTATGACCAAGTTTGCTCCACTTAAAAAATATTACGGGTAATTTCTGTGCCCATTTTAAATATCATAATATACATGTACTACATATGTACCATCAACAGGAGTGGGCATGCTTCAACAGAAGGAAATTGGTCTACAAATGTTTTGATATTTTTCTCCTTTCCCCAAATGCAAGATAAAAACTTGATGCACAAATGACTGTTAAGGGTTAGCTTTCACATTTACAATTCTTACTTTCACATTAATGCAAAACTAGGTCACTACCTATATATATAAACAGCTATGATTTAATTTATTATTACAAAGACACTTTTTACTCTGACCAGCAAAGTGGATTTTCCTAGAAATAGGTTGATTTAAAATAAAGACACATTTTATATCGCATATCATTTGTAACTCCACTAAACTATATGAAGTCAAGATTTATACGTTAACCGAGGGTTACAATAAAGCAGTAAAGGTCACATCATTACAAATGTAAAACGGATCTTTTTTTTATAAAGCTTTGTTGTGTAAGAACTTATAATACATTGGCTACCTATACATATATACGCTGAGATCATTTACATGTGACAATTGTTTGACATTTTTTTTTAATTATGGACAGATGATGAAACACTCTCAAATCTGGAAACTTAAACCAAATGCTCAATGATAAACAACAATCCAAATATCCACTATACAAATGCATATAGTTCACTCATAAAGTCACACAGACTATTACTATTATCAAATCTTCACCCTTACTACTCAAGTCAGAAAATATTGTAGAAACTCTATTAAAATAAAAATAAAAATAGCAGAAGTAAATCATAGTAGAGTCTGATGACAATCTAGATTTCAGTCAAAAATAAATCAATCTTTGACTTTTAAGAATAAAATTGGGTAAGTGTTCTGAAAATTCACAGCATAAGACAGATTATATTTTATATGTAAAATATCAAAAGAACAGCCTGTGTGATTGTGAACGTCCCTGAAATCCTAGGCTGAGTTTAGTACTATTTCTATAGTATATAATTTAAAACAAGTGTGTAAGATAAACGTTACCGATATACCAAAATGCAATGATTAATCTACATATCTAGTTCTACATGTATTATTTAGATTAATAAGTGCGCTTTCATATAATTACGGCATGATTTGTGAAGATAAAAGGACCCTGTAGAGTATTTATGGTTTACATATATCCTGGTTCGTAGCACCCACGAATAGGATTAATTATCAATGTGAACATCCCCTAACCAATCAGCTACCCAGGTAATCCAGTCCCCCTACTATCTAAACCATCCCCTAACCAATCAGCTACCCATGTAATCCAGTCCCCCTACTATCTAAACCATCCCCTAACCAATCAGCTACCCAGGTAATCCAGTCCCCCTACTATCTAAACCATCCCCTAACCAATCAGCTACCCAGGTAATCCAGTCCCCCTACTATCTAAACCATCCCCTAACCAATCAGCTACCCAGGTAATCCAGTCCCCCTACTATCTAAACCATCCCCTAACCAATCAGCTACCCAGGTAATCCAGTCCCCCTACTATCTAAACCATCCCCTAACCAATCAGCTACCCAGGTAATCCAGTCCCCCTACTATCTAAACCATCCCCTAACCAATCAGCTACCCAGGTAATCCAGTCCCCCTACTATCTAAACCATCCCCTAACCAATCAGCTACCCAGGTAATCCAGTCCCCCTACTATCTAAACCATCCCCTAACCAATCAGCTACCCAGGTAATCCAGTCCCCCTACTATCTAAACCATCCCCTAACCAATCAGCTACCCAGGTAATCCAGTCCCCCTACTATCTAAACCATCCCCTAACCAATCAGCTACCCAGGTAATCCAGTCCCCCTACTATCTAAACCATCCCCTAACCAATCAGCTACCCAGGTAATCCAGTCCCCCTACTATCTAAACCATCCCCTAACCAATCAGCTACCCAGGTAATCCAGTCCCCCTACTATCTAAACCATCCCCTAACCAATCAGCTACCCAGGTAATCCAGTCCCCCTACTATCTAAACCACCCCCTAACCAATCAGCTACCAAGGTAATCCAGTCCCCCTACTATCTAAACCACCCCCTTACCAATCAGCTACCAAGGTAATCCGGTCCCCCTACTATCTAAACCATCCCCTAACCAATCAGCTACCCAGGTAATCCAGTCCCCCTACTATCTAAACCACCCCCTAACCAATCAGCTACCCAGGTAATCCAGTCCCCCTACTATCTAAACCACCCCCTTACCAATCAGCTACCAAGGTAATCCAGTCCCCCTACTATCTAAACCACCCCCTAACCAATCAGCTACCAAGGCAATCCAGTCCCCCTACTATCTAAACCACCCCCTAACCAATCAGCTACCCAGGGAATCCAGTCCCCCTGCTATCTAAACCATCCCCTAACCAATCAGCTACTCAGGTAATCCAGTAACCCTGCTATCTAAACCATCCCCTAACCAATCAGCTACCCAGGTAATCCTGTCCCCCTGCTATCTTAACCTTTTTCAATAAGAAATATATGTTTTCATCGGAAAAAGGAGTACAGATCATGTACATTTTTTCAGTTTATCTATTATAAAAACATCCTTTAGACATAAAATAAGCTGAATGTGTGGTAACGCCATAAGCAGGAATCATCAACCAAGCCCACATGTTAATATGATGTTACCTTTCAGCAATTACCATCCAAAACTTGTTACTGTATCTTACAGCACTTGTTAAAATGATGTCAAACAGTTCATATTTTCATGTTAATTTAATTCTAATTTTACAACATAGATATTGCTACCCCAAATCCCTAATAAATAGAATAAGCTATATACATTATTATATATTAAATCATAGGCTTCAGGGATATAGAATGTTTCTAGTTCCCCAAGCCCAGGTATATTACTCGTGGTAAAGATGAATCCTGAAATCCATCAACTTACCGATACGAAATGCTCAAACATCTAAAAAAAAAAAGCAACATTGTAAGTGGAAACTATGCTCTCGCTATTGTCTGCACTGATGTCTCAAGTGATAAACTAACTGACTGAGGATTTAACATTGAATACAGTCTCCGCCCTCACATGTGAATGGCGCAGTCATTTCTGTTAAATTACAGAAACAGCTGAAGGAAATTTGCTCAAACAAACTCCCTAACACCCTGGAATGTAGGACCAACTCCCTTGATTGGAGACCTTACACCCTGGAATGGAGGACTAACTCCCTTGGTTGGAGACCTAACACCCTGGAATGTAGGACCAACTCCCTTGGTTGGAGACCTAACACCCTGGAATGGAGGACTTACTCTCTTGGTTGGAGACCTAACACCCTGGAATGGAGGACTAACTCCCTTGGTTGGAGACCTAACACCCTGGAATGGTGGACTAACTCCCTTGGTTGGAGACCTAACTCCCTGGACAGCCACATAGGGAGTGGGGGAAGGCAGAGGGGATGAGTGGGGATAGAGTAAATTAAACAAACTATATTTCTAAACCATACAGAAAACAGTATTTCTAGCCATTTTATATTGTATCCTTTTTAATAGATTACAATATGTCTGACTCAGTTTACACAATCATTCATTTCACCTTCAACTAAAGCACATTTTGTGTCATTGGTATCACATCAATGACATCTTTCACCCCATATACAATGTAGTGACAAAAACCATTGTTAAATACACTACCATCAATATCTTCACACCCTTCATGGCTTCATGACCTCCTGTCTCATAGCTTCTATAAACAATGTAGTGACAAAAACCATTGTTAAATACACTACCATCAATATCTTCACACCCTTCATGGCTTCATGACCTCCTGTCTCATAGCTTCCATAAACAATGTAGTTTTATACACTGATCCAAATTGCTTGTAAAATGGAAATTTAAAACATAATCTTATTCATTGCTAAATAAATTGTAGAACAAATAACCACCTGATTTGATGTTTATCGACCTTTTGTAATTTTAACATCAGTCAAAGTGTTCAAATTTTTTATTTGTCATTTTAATTTTCAATTTTTCAGTTGAATCCTATCAGGACATTCAAGGAAGCAATAAAAACATTTAACATATTCAGGCCTGATGTTATTTAAGAAATGTAACAAAAAATCTTAAGATGGTATGGACAGAACGTTAAATTTCACAACAATACATATCACCTAGATCAGTCAAACACAATGGAATGAAAACTTGGGTTTAAACAGCACACCACCTTTAACAAAACATATTGCACATCTTTTGCTAGATCCTTGCTGTACGGCCGTGGAGTAGATGTTGGATTCCAGTAATATTTAGGACACTTGTATATTTCTGCAAATCAACAGTCTGTGTACCCAGGTATATGTCACTTGTCAACAGTCAGTCATCTGTTTACTCCCTGTATCCTACTGGTAAACATCACCAGACAGTATGTTCCCTGTTACCTACACCCTGTAACCTACAGGCTGTGTGACACTGGTCACAAACCACCATCTGTTTACTCCCTGTATCCTACTGTTAAACATCACCAGATCAATAACATTACCCCCCTTCTAAATCTTCATTGCATTAATCATTATATACCAGTAATATTACCAATTTTTTTTCTCTTTTACACAACAAACATATTTTCTTAAAAAGTGATTGCACTAATTATAATAATTATACCAGTTACATTATAATTTCTTCCTTTAAACATCAAAAGGTTTTTTCTTAAAAAAAATATACCAACATGTCAACCAGTAATAAAACCAACACCAAATCATGCTCCAGAATTACAGGAGTACTACACGAGTTCCACAGCCCTGTGGTTACAGGTTACTAGCTGCCTTTAGTTACGCCGGCCTTCAGTGACTTCAAGGATTTTCTTGGGGTTTTAAATACGAAGATCATTTTTCCTCAGATGCCGTACTCACCGAGCAACATGAACAGCAAGATTACAATCAGTAAAGCACCCAATACAATCAGTAGCACACTGTAGGAGTCTGAAAAGTAAAAGAATCAAATTATAAATAATTGCCAAGAAAACCCATCCCTGACTAAACACCAGCTAATACCACTAGAAAAGCTGTGTATGTACATATCTAAGATAAAGACACAGTGACAAGGTCAATCATACAGTATCATTTATTTCCAACAGCACAAAAATGTTTTTGAATCTGAAATCAAAGAGAAACAGAATCTGTTACTTGCAATTAACTACGGGAGATTGTCCAACAAATATACAAATTAACAAGAGATCCCAGGGGGATCTTGGCGCCCACCTTTGTACCATCTTCATTAGTTCTTTGTCAGTTCGATCTTTTCTCTTCTTTCCTCTAATCTGTTTGATCGAGTCATGTTAACAGTAAATGCACCTTGAGGTAACTATTGATCTAAACTTAATACTGTTGTGTATGAAAGCCAACCTTCAAAGTGAGTTTGTCATTTCACATATTTTCTAGTACAGTACTTAATGTGAAGGAAATAGAATCGATCATTGCAATATGAGAAAGATCTGTTTAGTTCTTCTTTTAATCCATTTTTTTTTTATGATCAGTCTCAAAATATAACATACACAACGAGGGATCAAGGGGAACTTACATATAAAATTTAAGAAAGATCCCTCTGGTACTTCTTGAGAAATAGCGATAACAAACTTTCACTATCAAAATTCAAGTTGGCTGCCTGTCGGCAATGTTGTTTATCCGATCAGTCTCAAAAGTTGCCCTGCACAGCTAAGGACCAAGGGGAACCTTCTTATAAAATTTAAGAAAGATCCCTCTGGTACTTCTTGAGAAATAGCGATAACAAACTTTCACTATCAAAATCCAAGTTGGCTGCCTGTCGGCAATGTTGTTTATCCGATCAGTCTCAAAGGTTGCCCTGCACAGCTAAGGACCAAGGGTAACATACATATAAAATTTGAGAAAGATCCCTCTGGTACTTCTTGAGAAATACTGATAACAAGAATTGTTTAAGGAAGGACCACGGACGCAGGGTGATTTGAATAGCCCACCAACAGATGATGGTGGGCTAAAAAGACACTCACTGTGGCACAGTAATTTTGAAACCAAATTTTTACTTAATTAAAGCAACAATTCTCGATTTTTGTCTACAATATGAGATTGCTAGAAGTGGACGAAACCATTGACATGTGTTAATTTCAAATGCTCCACACCAAAATTATTAATCGAAAATGGATAGTCATCCTGATTATCCCAGGGGGTGTACAATTCTATTTGCCCGATGTTTGAGATACAGGGTAAGTAGATTTTATGTGAATGTACTTGTGACAATTTTCAGTATGTCCCATGAAAATATGGTTTGGGCTGGTATTATTTGTCAAAATCTACCTGCAGGCTATATTCTATATGAAATTGAAAACCCCTAAATATGTATCCATAGATTATCACCAATACTTACTTCTGGCTGCTACTTGATGCATGCGGATAGTGTTATCAGCCGATATACTTAATAAGGTAAAGTCCTGGTTTCCTGTCACTTCTCGCGTTCCCTCGGAACTTGGCATGAATTCTACTCCTGTCACAAATATACTGTGGGCCTCTTTCTTATAATACAATTTCTGTAAGAAACACAACCAGTACAGAAATGTAATCTAATCTATACCATGAATATGGAAAACAAAATGACACAGAATATGGATAATTAATATCAGCAATCAGCGTGATATCCAAAAGGACGCATCTGATTACAGACCAGAACAATGGATGATCAAAGGGAGATAACCCAACAAGTTACACGTTCACACTATTTGCATATGGAGCAATACCTCTACTGACATATCAGCGTGAGATTTTGTCTCATGCCATGAGACTTGAGCTACATTCGCGTATCCCGGTTGAAACGGTACATGTGGCACAGAAATGTTCTACAATAAATGAACTTGGACCGTTCTATAAGCAGAGCTGAAAATGCACAGTTTCGGAGAATAAAAAACAATGTATTGAGAATATTATGTCATTCTTTCATTCGTCCACTGAATTTGTTCTAGAAAGAAATAGCGAAAACTGGCAATAGTCAGCATTTTAGTTTCAGTCAGGTACGTCTGGACCCCTCAATCTACACATGCCAAATTTTCCTGAGGTCAGCCTCGGTTCAGATCTGTACCTGTCGTTTTCTTAACAAGTTCAACCGTTTCAACCGGATACGCGAATGTACCCTTGGCAACCCTGCTACTCTAGATCACATCATTCAAAATTTACAATTCATTATTAGTTTACTTAAACAATTTTCAGACAACATTTTGGGATGTAACAAGTAATCATTTATTTCTAACCATACTTTTAAATACCTGACGAATAATTTTAAATGGGCAGTGTTTCATATGAAAACATTAAAAGTGGTATAATGCATAGAGTTTTGGGGAAGTTTTCTGTAAGAATTTATATTTTACAATGTACATTTTAGACTAAAACTAAAATAGCATTCAAGATGTCGATTAAAACTTTGATTAATCCTAATCAAATATTTGAAATTATACGTACCTGTAGACTAAAGGATATATACACAGCCACACTTCCTGATATTGTTCCTACCGCCAGGTACACACCGTCATCACTGTAAAACAGTTCATAATACAGACATCTTATACAAATAACATTTCTTTGTCCAAAAATTGAAGCAGACCTGAAAAACTTGGAACATATTTTTCAAAAAGGGATCTACCTTTTGAGACGCCATAGATGATTTTATACAAGTGTCTATCATGAAACAAGTATAAAGTATCAGTTTACTAGCCTTCAATTTTTTTTGTTTAAAACTATTTCTGAATACACAGATGTATATAATAATGAAATATGAATGTAAATACCTCACTGCCAGACATGACAGGACCTCTGTTCCAGCAGTGACCATACGTTTTGGTGTAAATTTCTCACTGCACCACATTGTTAAAAAACAAGGAAGGGGTTTCTGCGCAGATCGTTTGTTAGGTATACTGATGGTGTAGAGGTTAAATTTGTCCTTTTTTCCTTCTATCAGACCATATCTGAGGAATAGAAACAAACAAATAAGCAAGAAATCATTATCATGATGAATCTTCACTCGATAACCAGTGACATATCTCAAGTTGCCCTTTCAATTTGAGAGTTTGTAAGTTAACCAATAGTTTGACTTGCACAAAGAGTTTGTTAACTATACAATAGCTTGACTTGCACACACAGAGTTTGTAAGCTTTACAATAGCTTGACTTGCACACAGAGATTGTAAGCTATACAATAGCTTGACTTGCACAAAGAGTTTGTAAGCTATACAATAGCTTGACTTGCAAAAAGAGTTTGTAAGCTACACAATATCTTGACTTGCACAAAGAGTTTGTAAGCTATACAATAGCTTGACTTGCACAAAGAGTTTGTAAGCTATACAATAGCTTGACTTGCACAAAGAGTTTGTAAGCTATACAATAGCTTGACTTGCACAAAGAGTTTGTAAGCTATACAATAGCTTGACTTGCACAAAGAGTTTGTAAGCTATACAATAGCTTGACTTGCACAAAGAGTTTGTAAGCTATACAATAGCTTGACTTGCACAAAGAGTTTGTAAGCTATACAATAGCTTGACTTGCACAAAGAGTTTGTAAGCTATACAATAGCTTGACTTGCACAAAGAGTTTGTAAGCTATACAATAGCTTGACTTGCACAAAGAGTTTGTAAGCTATACAATAGCTTGACTTGCACAAAGAGTTTGTAAGCTATACAATAGCTTGACTTGCACAAAGAGTTTGTAAGCTATACAATAGCTTGACTTGCACAAAGAGTTTGTAAGCTATACAATAGCTTGACTTGCACAAAGAGTTTGTAAGCTATACAATAGCTTGACTTGCACAAAGAGTTTGTAAGCTATACAATAGCTTGACTTGCACAAAGAGTTTGTAAGCTATACAATAGCTTGACTTGCACAAAGAGTTTGTAAGCTATACAATAGCTTGACTTGCACAAAGAGTTTGTAAGCTATACAATAGCTTGACTTGCACAAAGAGTTTGTAAGCTATACAATAGCTTGACTTGCACAAAGAGTTTGTAAGCTATACAATAGCTTGACTTGCACAAAGAGTTTGTAAGCTATACAATAGCTTGACTTGCACAAAGAGTTTGTAAGCTATACAATAGCTTGACTTGCACAAAGAGTTTGTAAGCTATACAATAGCTTGACTTGCACAAAGAGTTTGTAAGCTATACAATAGCTTGACTTGCACAAAGAGTTTGTAAGCTATACAATAGCTTGACTTGCACAAAGAGTTTGTAAGCTATACAATAGCTTGACTTGCACAAAGAGTTTGTAAGCTATACAATAGCTTGACTTGCACAAAGAGTTTGTAAGCTATACAATAGCTTGACTTGCACAAAGAGTTTGTAAGCTATACAATAGCTTGACTTGCACAAAGAGTTTGTAAGCTATACAATAGCTTGACTTGCACAAAGAGTTTGTAAGCTATACAATAGCTTGACTTGCACAAAGAGTTTGTAAGCTATACAATAGCTTGACTTGCACAAAGAGTTTGTAAGCTATACAATAGCTTGACTTGCACAAAGAGTTTGTAAGCTATACAATAGCTTGACTTGCACAAAGAGTTTGTAAGCTATACAATAGCTTGACTTGCACAAAGAGTTTGTAAGCTATACAATAGCTTGACTTGCACAAAGAGTTTGTAAGCTATACAATAGCTTGACTTGCACAAAGAGTTTGTAAGCTATACAATAGCTTGACTTGCACAAAGAGTTTGTAAGCTATACAATAGCTTGACTTGCACAAAGAGTTTGTAAGCTATACAATAGCTTGACTTGCACAAAGAGTTTGTAAGCTATACAATAGCTTGACTTGCACAAAGAGTTTGTAAGCTATACAATAGCTTGACTTGCACAAAGAGTTTGTAAGCTATACAATAGCTTGACTTGCACAAAGAGTTTGTAAGCTATACAATAGCTTGACTTGCACAAAGAGTTTGTAAGCTATACAATAGCTTGACTTGCACAAAGAGTTTGTAAGCTATACAATAGCTTGACTTGCACAAAGAGTTTGTAAGCTATACAATAGCTTGACTTGCACAAAGAGTTTGTAAGCTATACAATAGCTTGACTTGCACAAAGAGTTTGTAAGCTATACAATAGCTTGACTTGCACAAAGAGTTTGTAAGCTATACAATAGCTTGACTTGCACAAAGAGTTTGTAAGCTATACAATAGCTTGACTTGCACAAAGAGTTTGTAAGCTATACAATAGCTTGACTTGCACAAAGAGTTTGTAAGCTATACAATAGCTTGACTTGCACAAAGAGTTTGTAAGCTATACAATAGCTTGACTTGCACAAAGAGTTTGTAAGCTATACAATAGCTTGACTTGCACAAAGAGTTTGTAAGCTATACAATAGCTTGACTTGCACAAAGAGTTTGTAAGCTATACAATAGCTTGACTTGCACAAAGAGTTTGTAAGCTATACAATAGCTTGACTTGCACAAAGAGTTTGTAAGCTATACAATAGCTTGACTTGCACAAAGAGTTTGTAAGCTATACAATAGCTTGACTTGCACAAAGAGTTTGTAAGCTATACAATAGCTTGACTTGCACAAAGAGTTTGTAAGCTATACAATAGCTTGACTTGCACAAAGAGTTTGTAAGCTATACAATAGCTTGACTTGCACAAAGAGTTTGTAAGCTATACAATAGCTTGACTTGCACAAAGAGTTTGTAAGCTATACAATAGCTTGACTTGCACAAAGAGTTTGTAAGCTATACAATAGCTTGACTTGCACAAAGAGTGTTTAAGCTATACAATAGCTTGACTTGCACACAGAGTTTGTAAGCTATACAATAGCTTCACTTGCACACAGAGTTTGTAAGCTATACAATAGCTCAACAGCTTGCACACAGAGTGTTTAAGCTATACACAAAAGTGGCACTCAGTGTCTGTCCATTCAGTGTCAACTTAGGTTTTGTCCATCATGATATTTAGTTTATACTTTGCTGTTGTGAAGGATATATTATGTCCATCAATATTCATAATCACAGAGGTCAAATGTGTCAAATATTTAAATTGTTTTTTTCTTAGGGAACACTTTGCTTGAATCCATATTGCATATGTGGAGGTTTGCTAGGGTTAGGGGCAATCAAGTTACTTCAAACTAGAAAAAATAGTCAAATTACAAATATCTTTCTTCACGCATATCTGCATGTGATGTTCTTTCGCTATGTCAAGTTACAAACAAATCCAACATATAATTTAAGAGGACTTGAACTTACAAAGTTCAGACAGACGGACGGGGCAATTCCTCTATACATGTACCTCCCCAAACTTTGTTTGTTGGAGGGATAATATATATGACCTATGGGTATTGGTCTGAAAGCAATCCATTTTTAGGAGTCACATCTGTCACTTCAAGGTCACAGGAATGCTCTAAAATTGATATGTGTACTTACCTACAACACCTGTATCTGTGTTCGTCTGCCTGTAGAGGCCACTTGAGATTGGTGATCTTGCTGCCATCTTTAGAGTTCCACACACAGGCACAATGGTCTCTGGACACTGTCACTATCTGTCAGACAGGAAATGATAAGCATCATACTACATACCAGGTAATGAACAAAATATAATAACTTAGGCTTCCCACTTAAAATATCTTATTTTTTGAGCTAAGCATTTTTAGAAGAATACTTTCAGGACAAGCATTAGCCGATCACATCTGAACCTTATTAATTATTTTCCATTATAGGAAGAAATTTAAACCAATCTATAATGGCCTAGCTTTATAATACATATTAGGACAGTCAACACAAAGAACAATATTCTCTACTTCCCTAGAAATATATATAACAAGTATATAACATATATAATATGCATGCTTTCAATATTTTGTGTCTGTGTCTTTATAAGTTATCATATCTAAAGAAATAAAACAAAAGTCTCAGATTACCTAAAATGCTTTTGGTATGTATTTCTTTTCCTGAATTGTTACTGGAATTTATCTACAAGATTAGCATGTAACAGTACTTGTATTACACAGACAAACCACACAACATCTTACCTTGTCTCCTTGTGGACTAATATCAATATCATCTATATCATTTTTGTGGCCATGAACTTCGTACAATTTTTCCAATTCTGGAAACTGAAGAAAGAGAAATATCAATAAGCAAAAGAATGTGTTATGTCTGCATTAACTAATGTAGTAAGGTACATAAAAAGAAAAATGTTACAATCAAATATTTTACTTTATTTTATAAAACTTTTCTGAAATGAAATTTACCGAAATAATATTTTCTTACAGAGATGTAAAAATCCACAAGTCAGATACACAATTTACCATAAGTCTCAGATACCTGACTACCATTATTCTTAGACAAATGACTATGACAGATTTCAGATGTACATCTACCGCAAGTCTGGTACACAGAACAACCACAGGTCCCGTCAACAGGATTACCACACACACACATACAAGTCCTGGACACAGGACAAGTATAAATTCAAACTATGAATAAGTAAGTCTACCAAAAGTCTCAGACACTAGACTGCCAACAATCTCAGACACAAGAATACCAAAAGTCTTAGACACTAGACTGCCAACAATCTCAGACACAAGAATACCAAAAGTGTCAGACACAAGTCTACATCAAGTCTCAGACACAAGACTACCAAAATTTACTTACATACACAGGATTACCACAAGTCCCAGACACAGGTCTACTAAAGGTCACACAAGACTACATCAAGCCCTAGACATAGGATTACCACAAGTGTCAGACATAGGATTACCACAAGTCCCAGATACAGGATTACCACAAGTCCCAGACACAGGATTACCACAAGTCCCAGACACAGGATTACCACAGTATACCAAAAGTCTCGGACACAAGACTACAACAAGTCCACGACACAGGATTACCACAAGTATCAGACATAGGTTTACCACAAATATCAGACATAGGATTACCACAAGTCACACACACAAGATTACCACAAGTCACACACACAGGACTACCACAAATTCTCAGACACAGAATTATCACAAGTCACACACACAGGGCTACCACAAATTCTCAGACACAGAACTACCGCAAGTCACAAACACAGGACTACCACAAGTTCTCAGACACAGAATTACTGCAAGTCACACACACAGGACTACCACAAGTTCTCAGACACAGAACTACCACAAGTCACACACACGGGACTACCACAAGTTCTCAGACACAGAATTACTGCAAGTCACACACACAGGACTACCACAAGTTCTCAGACACAGAATTACCACAAGCCACACACACAAGCCTACAGCAAATCTCAGGGACAATTAAGACTACCCCAAGTGTCAGACACAGGCCATATGCATGTATCTGGTTTTTTCCCTAGAAATATTATTTCTGGATATATAAACAAACAATAATGAATAATTCATATGCATTATATTAAGGTACTCAGTAAATGTATACATTTACCTTCCACACCCTGAGGTAACCATCAGTACCTCCTGTAGCTATAAGACTTCGTTTTGGACTGATCTGGGCAACCTTTTGAAAGCTGCTGTCTTTATTGAAATCTGTCTTAGTACTTTTGATTTTGTCAATTTCAAACATGATTTGCTTTCCAGTGCTGTTTGGAGTATCATCAGAGGTATCTCCTTTCCTTTTTCGTAAATTTCCATCTTCTGTGAATAAAAAGAAAACATGTCATGAAGTCAAGATGATGTCATTTCAATAATTTTAGTTAAGATGCTACATTTGTTTTAGATTAATAAAACTAAGGATCCCCATACCACTTTTTTGATTTCACCATAACTTTGATAACTCATTTATGAAAAGAAAATCATACCTTGCAGGACTTCAATAAAAAATAATTAGATAAAATAAACAATTATATGATAAACAACTTTGTTCCCAGTGTAAATATTTTAGCGGAGCTAGGCTGGGATTTGAACCTTGAACTTCAGATTGATATAGTATCACTCTAACCGACTGAGCTACCTGGTCAATGGAAGTGTCCCGGGCCAATCTCTACCACAGTTATATCTAAAACGACATTAAGTTACTGTATATACAGAGAAAAAAACACAGTGCAACGAGACAGGGACCCTTAAAACACTAGTCTGTGTACAACCACCGTCTAGCTAGCTACAAGTTATTCTTATAGCACCCTCTACAGATTAATGAAATTGCTGTTAACTCCTGAAAGATCCAGATGACACCTGGAAGTTATTGTATGAGTATGCTGACGAAGTGTGACATTAGACAATGTCATCTCTACATATCACCTTTACAGGTAACACAACAATATAATGAAATGACAAAATAACTGACGAAGTGTGACGATAGACAAAGTAATCTCTACATATCACCTTTACAGGTAACACAACAATATACTGAAATGACAAAATAACTGACAAAGTGTGACGATAGAAAAAGTAATCTCTACATATCACCTTTACAGGTAACACAACAATATAATGAAATGACAAAATAACTGACGAAGTGTGACGATAGACAAAGTAATCTCTACATACTACCTTTACAGGTAACACAACAATATAATGAAATGACAAAATAACTGACGAAGTGTGACGATAGACAAAGTAATCTCTACATATCACCTTTACAGGTAACATAACAATATAATGAAATGACAAAATAACTGACGAAGTGTGACAATAGACAAAGTAATCTCTACATACTACCTTTACAGGTAACACAACAATATACTGAAATGACAAAATAATTAACTGCATTTTGTAGTAAATGTAAGTGCTGGTATCCTTAGTTAAGATGGGCAGAAATTCATACATTTCAGCTATCAATCACTACAGATGAACTTACATATGTATAAATGTGACTTTCACAATATTAAAACCACTGCAAAATAGTAACATCCAAGTTAAGAACTATAAACAGGTAATTTATACAAAGTGGACTGTTTCATACCTGAAGGTTTTTTCTTTGGAGAAACAACTTTGTATTTCAGTGAATAAACATGACATTCATCATCAAGTCCTGCTGCAAACTGATGGTTCCTTCCATCATAGACGTTGGAGCCGTTCATGATGGCCTGTGACCCCGTGTCGTGTCTACAGATACTGACCGCTTGTAGTTTGCCATCCTGAAGCTCCACCTCATACACCTCCTGTAAACATTTTAATTGAAGTCACAAAATCAGTTGTGTGCAAACCTACACTTCTATCAATGACAGAAACTAGTCAAGAATCAGGACACTGTTCAAAGTAAAAAGATGCTTTAATTTGTGGACTCTTAACAACAATCTTTTGACCATTTGAATATTTTGTATTTTTCTATCGTACACATTTTAACAAAGGTCACCTTACAGATCACAGATACAGGGTCACAAACATCAGTAAAATCTTATTTGTGATCAATGAATGAAACATGAGCTGTACTTACATTAATAGGTAGTGTGACCATTATAGTAGAAATGTCTACAAGTATCTTGTAGATTTGACAAAACATACCACTGTTTTACTCACACATATAACTTGTAATTTACAATGCATTTTTTTTATCAGGAAAATACATCCACACCTGTGATCCATTTAACAATGGCCTATCAGTTGTACATTTTGTGAAATACACAGGTCTGATGTGTGAATTTGAGCACTAATGTTTCATTGTGCCTGTAATAAGAACAGTCATGTTTCCAGAAATACACCCTTTTTGGCAACAAAAGCTACAACGAAATTTATGTGTTTTCATTCTATAATGTATTTTTTTTTAAGTAAGCTGAATATTTTTCCCTGTACACTGCGATATTACCTCAAACATAGAAGGACAGCATGAGAAGAATTCCATACATGCAATATATCGTTTAATACAAGTTTCAATGGATATCTGTCTCTCAAAAATAAACAATTTGGTCAATCCTACTTCCTGGAGGAACAGTACATACAAAAAAACCTGTGTGGCAGATTTTAATTGTACATAGGATTACACAGCAATTCTATTCATTAATAGGATCCCTAGATGATAAAAAATGGAAGCATTTCACTAGGTGTGTTTTTTGTAAATTATTCAACTACTGAAAGTAAAATATATAACTTTTTGTGATTTTTTTTCTTTGTCTAATTCTTGCTTTTTGTTCTTACCTTGTTTAACAAGGACATCCTTCTGGATTTTTTTGTTTTTTGCATTATTTTGTTTTTGATATTACTTCTTAAATACAGTTCTACATAAATGTCTATTAGACACTTCTATTGACATGATAACACTGTTCATGGTATTGAACAGGAAATTTTCTTTTATCTTTGTTTTGTTTATTGACATAATCTAACAAATATGATAATAAACAAACTTCCTGGTAAGTGGAATCATTATGGAAGTATTTTGATCTATTGACATAAAATGTTGATAACTTTATCATATATCACCCCACTTGGGAGAACACTCAGTCCTGCACTAACGTCAAAAGTTAGGTCTTACCAAGCGAGGCACTAAAAAAAAAGGATATTAGGAAGTAGAGAGAAGACATCAAGATATCTTTATATTCCCTGCTCAACACTCAGCATTAAGGGAAATTGCAGCCACTGCTTTACCCATCTTCAGTATAATGTGACAGGATGGAATACTGTGCTGGGTTCCTTTGGCATGATATTTCAGTGAGGTAACACTATAAATTCTACATAAGATCTGCTCGATCGCAAGGAGGCAAATTCACCATGCTCAAAATTTCCCACCTAAGCGACTCCATTTGGTAGGTCAGGGAGTGACTTATCAACAAAATTTTGGAAATCGAAATGTTGGAAATCTTCTAAACCAGAATAATATTTTTCTTTTTTCGGTCCGCATCAGTACTGTTTGTTGATAAGTCACTCCCATGAAATATAAAATGGCATTGCTCAGGTGGGAAATTTTTAACGATTGAAAACCGAGGACTCTACTGACGGAATGTAGCAGCTGTTGGTGATAATAAGGGCAGATTTGGATCAATACATAACCCATTTATCAATATATGTAAGATATGTGTTGTCATAGTAGATTTTTGTTGTCAGCACCTCAAAACTCTCCGATACCGAACAGTGTCGGGGAATTCCATGCACATTTCATATAGTAGTGCACTCTGGTCCCACACCAGACACCTCTCTGTAAAAAAGTCTTGTGTCAGGTATAGAGGAAACTCATACTAACATACACTTATGTGCACATGGTCAGGTCGGGGAAAACCACTAACTTGAGTATAATACGCAAGTTTGCCTATGATACGCCAATTGGGGTATGGATTTGTTACTGAAAATAGCCAAAATCACTTTAAGCTTAACTTTTTCAAATTGTTTGTCCAAGTTGCATTTAATTAGTTATGAAACATCTTACAAATGCAAAAATAAACTTTATTTGCATGTGGGAAAATACCAAAAATAGATGCAATACTTCCGGTAGAGTAAGGGGTAATCCTTTTAATCTCGGACAAGGATATAAACTCGGACGTTTTGCATTAAAGCACTGTTTCCTTTCAATTATTTCTAGCGTTTGTTGTTTTTCGTCACTGATTTAATCATTTGTGTGACTTTGACAAAACCGGAAACGAAATCGAAAGAAGGCGATACTAGAAAACGGAACGGATGCCGGTAAAATCTGATTTTTTCCAGACACCCATGTGATACAGAGTCTTCATCCCGGGAAATTTCAAGGTTAACGTATTAAGTGTAAGGAATTCCAGGAGTGAAAGAAGGCAAGTTTTAAGGGCATTATATTTGTAGTATGTGATTTTTTGGTTAAATATGTTTTTATTTATTATTCTGACACATAAAAAAAAAAAATATGTACAAAATATAAGAAAAAAATACAAAATACACTGTCCGAGTTTAAATGACACAATTGATATTTGGTCATTTAATTTCGGACACACTTCTAGACCAGAGGTTAAACAATGCTGAAGGTATATAGTTGTTAATTTGACAGTTTTAAAAATGGAAACATAATGGATCATCCAATAAACATATATATATATATATCATATGCATTGTTCATCTATAATATACATTGTATATATGTAGATTATACAGAACATATATATACAATTTTGGTGAATGATAAGTGACGAGCACAATCTAAATGATTTTTATATCAATTTTTATTTAATTTTTTAGATGCCAAGGAAAAATAAAACAAAACACAGAAGGGGACCAGAGCTCAAATATGATAGGTCGAATTTAGAACATGCTGTAATTCTGTGAAGAGCGGGACCATGTCTATTAGGAAGGCAGCGGGAACATTTGGCGTCCCAAAATCTACCCTGTATGACAGAATTACAGAAAAATCTGCCATAGATGCTCACCTGGACAAAAACCTGCCCTTCCAGAGGCTATAGAGAATAAAAATGTTGAAACTGTGAAAGAGGCGTCCCGGCAAGGAATTGGAATAAGTAGGAAACAACTGCTGGTGAGAACCGGTGATCTGTGCAAGCGTTTTAGACGTTTTTAACGGTGTTTAAAAAAGCTACACCTTCAAAACAGTGGTGGGAAGGGCTTAAAAAAAAGACACCCTGAATTGACCATTAGGAAACCGGAAAAGTTGGCTTCTGCCTGAGCTTCAATGCTCAACCCGGTGGGTGTACAGAAGTACATGAACGATTAAGGCAATGTACTGGATCAACTCAACATAAAGAACCGACCCGCCCAAATTTGGAATTGCGACGAAACCGGGTGCAATTTTGAACACACCCCTGTGCGAGTAATAGCAGAAAAGGGCGCGCGTAATGTTGTGGGGAGGACGACAAATAACAGGACAAACATCACCATTATGGCCAAGGTGAAAACCTTTGCCTCTGTCCATGGGTTCAATACAAGCGCAGCACCCACCGGTACAAAATGGGCGTGGCAAGAAAATGGATGTATAGCAGACAAAATTGGGGAGCAGTGGTTTTCCGACGTATTCCCACAATAGTTCCTGTCCCCAGTACTTTCCCTGACACAACCCATGTGCTTGTTCCCGCCTCAACTTCATCCTCTGACACCGCCTCCACAATAGTTCCTGTCCCCAGTACTTTCCCCGACACAACCCATGTGTTTGTTCCCCCCTCGACTTCATCCTCCGACACCGCCTCTGCAATAGTTCCTGTCCCCAGTACTTCCCCCGACACACCCCATATGCTGGTCCCCGCCTCGACTTCATCCTCCCACACCGCCCCCACAATAGTTCCTGTCCCCAGTTCTTTCCCCGACACAACCCATATGCTGGTCCCCGCCTCGACTTCATCCTCCGACCCCGCCCCCACAATAGTTCCTGCCCCCAGTACTTCCCCCGACACAACCCATATGGTGGTTCCCGCCTCGACTTCATCCTCCGACCCCGCCCCCACAATAGTTCCTGTCCCCAGTACTTCCCCCAACACAACCCATGTGCTTGTTCCCACCTCGACTTCATCCTCCGACACCGCCTCCGCAATAGTTCCTGTCCCCAGTACTTCCCCCGACACAACCCATATGCTGGTCCCCGCCTCGACTTCATCCTCCCACACCGCCCCCACAATAGTTCCTGTCCCCTGTACTTTCCCCAACACACCCCATGTGCTTGTCCCCGCCTCGACTTCATCCTCCGACCCCGCCCCCACAATAGTTCCTGCCCCCAGTCCTTCCCCCGACACAACCCATGTGCTTGTTCCCGCCTCGACTTCATCCGCCAACAGCCCGACACTGCCTCCACAATAGTTTCTGTCCCCAGTACCTTCCCTGACACATTCCACCTGATGGTTCCCGCCTCGACCCCATCCCCCGTATTAGCGTTTCCCTACACAGCGTCTACTCCGATAACTCCTTTATCTACCGCATGCTCTCCAGTTTCTGACCCTACGTTGGCCGCAGATTCCAATACACTAAACCTTCTCGCGCCTTTTATAGTTGCTGAACAAACATTGTCTGATAAAAGCCATGATGTGCTTTTCGACTTGTTTGTTGAAAGTGTTCCGCCCACTGAGGAGGAAACCTTAGAGACATTTTGGAACACCGAAATAGAACATATGTTCCTTCCTCCAAAGGTCGTTAGAGAGGAAACCACAAACAAAAGGAAAAGAAACACGTCGCATCGTCTCCTGACAAGTGACAATATTGTAAAGAAAAAACAGAGTGTTCAGGAAAAGAAAGACAAAAAAGAGAGGAAGAAAAGTTGCAAGGGTGCAGAACAAATTAAATTTTAAAAAAAGACCCATGTAATGTGAAATAATACGAGTGGTGTGGCAATTGTGATGTAGAATTACTACAATTATGAAGATTATATAGTAACAATCAACATGTGGAATGTACATATTTTAATGGATTTTGTTTTACTGAACATGCCACCTTCTTTGCAGTATATACATCTTATAAAGTTAGAGTTCCGCCTTGTATTGTCATATCCGCGGAACAATTGAGTGTTGTACTGATCTAACATGACGCTATTCCAATTTAGACACGTTTTTTAACAATATTTAAAAAAAATGATCATATATATCTAGACAGTTTCCTTATTCTTCACAAAAAAATGTCATGGTGGTTCATTTTCAGGAATTTTTTCATTCTAAGTAATTTCTATTTAAAAATAAAACGCTAAAACATGAAGCGACATTGCATAACTTGTTTGGCAATGATTACCTAAAATGACATATGACATTCGCAGGCTCTGTTTTTTATTTCGACGAGTTGATGTGCAGATTGTCATGAAAAAATATTCATCCTCGGTTAATAGGACCAGAAACCAATATTTAAACATGCCTATAATTTTCTGGGGTTTTTTCTTTCGTGTTTACTTCAAACTCATTGTGCACATTTAAACATATCACTGAATACAAAACTATTTGGTGGAAATGCTGAATGATAGCAATATTTCATATACAACTTTAATTCCAGAGAGCTATTCGAAATATTTTCTCGTCTTGAACCATATATGGTAGTGTGATGTATTAATAAAGTTGTGAAGATACATGTAGTACTAAGACCAATTCAGCAGTTTGTCTTATTCACATATTTCAATGGAATATTTTAGAAAGTTAATTGGTGTCCGACTTTTTATGCCTATACTGTCCGGGTTTATGGTCTTTCCGCCTTTTGGTTTATTTGTTAGACAATGTATCGATCAACCAATGAAAATCCACACTGCAATATGCATCCTAAAAACGTAACATTAGCGAGTTCGTTTTTCCACCTTGGACTGAATTATCGCAGCAATCGCCAGTGACGGTTTTAAGACTGAGGTCTCTGAAAAGTGTTCGAGATTACAAGTTTCTAAGTAGCCAACGCTTTCAGTAAGCATCTTTTAGCAAAATATTATTTACGTTGCCGTTAATTAATGCGATTTTTAATAATATATCGCAAAAGTTACTGTTAAAGCGATTTGGATTATTTTTAGTAACAAATCCATACTCCAACTGGCGTATAATAGGCGAGTTTGCGTATTATACGCAAATTGGTGGTTTTCCCAGACCTGATGGTAGTACACTACACACATGGAGGCGCGTGCTTAAATGACATAAGCTGTTAAAAAAACATTAAACCCTATAAAACGAAATAACGTAGCGTGCGGCCTTTAAAACCGCATTTCAAGTATTCTTTAACGCCGGATAATGAGACAAACCCAATGGCTGTTCAAACACCTGTGTAACGTCCGCTTTGATTTCACTACCGGATGGTTCTGGTTATCCAGCGAACAAGTACATGTGGGACTTTTGCTGATATACCGTTCGTTGTAACTTGATACAACGACACTCTCGAAGTCGGTACTATGACTTGCACAAGCCTCACTCTCTCATTCGTCCGGCCCCTGTCACCTGTGTTATTCAGTTGACAGCTGTGAACCATGTAAGCCGATACAAGAAATATGATCTATTCCATGACAAATTTATCAAACTTACAATTGCATTAGCAATACCAGTCTTTGCAGCCCCACCACCGCCAGCTACAAGAAAATGTCTTTCGTCTAAAGATTTAACAACATAAAGTGGAAACTCGGACCTTGCCAACAAACCACCTTTGTCGGCCATCTTGCCACGATTTGCCCCGGATTGATATATAAAAAATAAAATGAAGTTTTGTGTTTGAGCTAATGAGAATTTTTATAAAAGAAACAATATTTCAATCGATGTGATAATAATTTATATTTTCCATTTCTAAGGAATGTAAACATAACGAACAAGTGCGCGCCCCAAGTGCGGATCTAATGAAATAGTCCCTTTGATGATCGGGGTATCCAAAATGTTTTATTGATATTTTCAAATGTCGATTTTAAAGACTTCTGATATTTCTCGTAAAACATGCAGAAAGCAAAATAAAGAGACCAATCTAAATTAATAATGTATGTGCTTTTTCCTGAAATCAATTACTTGAACATCACACAAACAGAATATAAATAATTGAATACTAAGTTGCCTGACAACAGGTCACGTGACGATGCTGTAGGTAATTTGCTATTCCTCCGCACAAATACAGTTTTGTATTAAAAATCTTAAACATTACTAAAACAGAAACTGATCTATGACATTGACCTGCTTATTCTAGAATAAGAAAACAACTATTTAATTTCTGTATTTGTAACCAGACAATCTTATCATATTGAAACGATATAATGACCTATTTTATATCGGAGGAAATATGGATATGTTGTTAGGCTCAAATGGACATAGGAGTTGAAGTATAACACAAATAACACACTTCAACACTTATACCAACAAACCCATATGTAGCTATGTAAGTATGAATCATTAACAGAAAAGGTAACACGACAACTATTTCCATTGCTCCGTCTAACGATTGATAAATTTATCAACACTCCTTGGCTGTACATTTGCAGAGAATGAACCGTTTCCCTACCTGTCTACCTATCGAGTTTTATTTTATATATATAAATTATATTGCACCGGTAACTGTATACATGTAGTCTATCTACTCCAACTTGTCTCTCAACGATACTCTAACGGTTTAAGTAGACGGCACAACTTGTTAGACTTGCTTCATGCTAAAACCTCCCTTTTTAGGAGGGAGACTCACGATTTTGGACCCTTCAATTTAGTATTTTCAACCTGTGAATTTGTTTAGTGGTCTACAGTGGCAATGTCTTTTCAACACATGGTAAGCTGTTATTTGCATGGCAGCCAAAGATGGCGAGTGCTTCCCCTCATCAACGTGAACTTCATTTTTGGTTTTGTGTCTTTAAATACAGACCCATCAACTCTGATCTGATGATAAGTTATAAATGTACACTGTAGTTCAGATTGTTACTGTTGGAACCTATAGTGTCCATGATCTATAAGGATGTCCAAGGTTAATATCTGGTCTGGATGGTTAATGCATTTTCTCATCCATGCAGTTCTATAAGTACCATTTTCATGATAAACTGATACATTGTATGTATACCATCTGGACAACAACCAAAGATACAAACTAGAGTGGTACATTTTTTTTGTATGTGACTATTAATGTAAAGAGTTGCTCAAATAAAATCTGGAAAAAGGCAGAATTTAAAAAGAAAACCTGCACTTCAGATTCACAGCTCAAAAAAGAGCTGCTATAACCATAATTGGCAGGCAAAAAGTACAAAATAATAATACATAACACCACCTTTGTACATTGTCAGTGTTGCTGATTTCTGATTTAGGGTTTTAATTTTAACTTTTTCATATAGACAGGAGGAGGTTCAAGATGTATGTAAGAATACATGCGATGCTGAAGACCTAGCTGATCTGTAGCCCCATCCCTTCAGCCTCACTAATATTGACACCATGGTGAAGTTGACACTCGACCTCATTGCCAGGGGCACCTCTGGGTATACAAAAAAGAAGCGTGATGAATCTATGCAACAGTATCTCAAACGACTGACACATTTGTATTTGGAAGACAGAAGCATTGATGATGTGGTAAAGTTGTTATTTTATGTAATTCTTCCACTCCATCTCACAGATGTGAGATTGACACAGCCTTGTGCATATGTTATTTGGAAATGTGCATCAAATTATTAGTTCCAAACCAGTTCTATTCTGTGTTCTCACCTCGTTCATCCTTCTAGAGCTGTCCATTTCTGGTACATGTATCTAGGTACATCTTCAGATGACAAGGTGTAAATATACCAAAACAGGTCACTGTGACCTGTATTTTGACCTGTGACCCAAATAATTGAAACAGTTTGTTAAAGACCATCCTCCATACTCCAGGGGTTACGCTCATTTGCACTCGATGCACCCTTGGAATATGTCACAACAAAATTGAAGACACACTCCTGGATATTTGGTTGGTCTCTGGTAAAAAAAAAATAACCCAACTGCTACTCGCTGGGCTGATATCTGTCCTTTGAAGATTGCAGAGTAACGACACCCGACTTCAAAGCCAGTCAATTTTACAGTTACGTGACCGACAGATTCTTTTGATGTAATCAAATCCACAAAGTGGTGCACACTGAGCCTTCAATTTTTCTATGACATCCAGGGGTGTAGAGAGCGAAAGTGAGCATGTAACCCCTGGAGTATTGAGGATGGTCAGAGACATATCTAGATCTCTTGTACTTTTTGCAGATTTGGTATGCAGGTGCATTGTCTGACATGAGAGTGGATTTGTCACAAGCAATAATATATTCTCTGATATTGAAGTGGTTTACTAATAAATATGGTAGTGTAGGTTTAATGTCAAGTAATGATATTCTCAGGATCAAAGATATTTCAATAGCACTGTTTACTTTTTGCGCTGTCAATGGTTTTGAAAGTTGACTATATATTCTATATTTTATCTATTATCTGAACAATCTAATAAATATTTGTGTGATCATATTTTATATCAACTTTTACTGTATCCATATTTGACTCTGATGTATATACATATTTATTTCTCTTGTCAAGTATTTAAATTGAAGTGTTCTCACCAAGAGTCTAAAACATTGTATCAATTAATGTTTCAGGGAGACGATATCGGCATGTGCCGCAATCTGACAGTATTATATTTGTATGACAACCAGTTGAACAGGATACCCTCCCTACATCACAACATGAACCTGACCATGTTGTACCTACAAAATAATGATATCTGTAAAGTAGAAAACCTTGCCCCACTGACTCGTCTCCAGAAATTGTGAGTAATCAGGTTTATAAATATTTGAAATTGTTTAATTGCTACAATCACCCCATAACATGTTGCAACGAACCATAAGAGACTGTCATGTTTAAATTGTGTTTGTCATGGTTTGATGATTTTTACATCTAGAACTTCAAAACAGTAATGGACTATACGTTACACAATTTTCTGAATTTTAATGAAAACATAACATGCTCTTCACAGACAAAGGTAATACAGTGATAAATCAGTGCTCCTAATTATAAACTGAAGTGTTCTTAAATCTGTGTTTGCAGGCTGTTTAATATCTTTATAACCGCTATTAAAGTGTGTTTTGGTAATCAGTTATTGCAATTAAAGGTTCAACTCTAATAAAAAATATATCTATTAAGTGGTTGTTTTTTTATTTAATCAATATCTTTTATGTATTGATCACTTGTATGTTTTATCAAAATTTCATTTATCTCCTGACAGGTACTTGGGAGGTAATTGTATAACTGTTTTAGAAGGCCTAGACAAAATGGACAAACTTCAGGAACTTCATGTTGAAAACCAAAGGCTACCTCCAGGAGAGAAACTGTTGTTTGACCCAAGGTCTTTAAGAGGAATAGCTGTAAGTGTGATCAAATTAAAACATTTGGCATTGTTTTTAGTTTGATCCATGATAAACGATAATAACTTGGCAGTTCATGGATTGGGATGTATGTTTGAATCGATGAAATTACAAGCACCAATAGTCTGACTTGATCCGTTGCTTGTCAGCAATAAACCAAGAACAATAAATAGCATTAAACCTTTATTATTGCTAGTTTGTAGTTTGATCAAGAATTAATTAAGACATTGATTTGGTAATTTTCTAGCTAAAAGGATTTTCAACACCAGAGAACAGCTTAACTGTTAAATGGCTTTTATCAACATATTTTTGCTAAACAGAGATATCAAGAAATGTATAACACTTTCTGGTTATGAATTCTAAAGGTGGGTAGCATATTGCTGCTCGGTTAAAGATCAAGAATTTTAGAAAATAATTCAGGATGTTACTTATCATATATTTTTAAAATATCACAATAACATTAGCTCTTAACCATATATCTATATCTGTGGTGAAAAGTACATTTTTATTTGATCTTGATGTCAATCTTGCTTGTTACAGTTGTCGCTACAGGTGCTCAACGTGTCCGGTAACGGACTGGATAGTATCCGCGACATGATTGGTCTGAGGAACGTTTCCCAGTTTATGGCCAATGACAATGAGTTAAGTGACATGAAGGACCTGGCACACAACTTCGGTAACTGGCCTGTGTTATGGCGGCTAGAACTGATGGGAAACCCTGTATGCCACAAGGCAAAGTACAGAGACAGGATCATTGTGATGGCAAAAACTCTGGGTAAGGCTCAGTTTGAAAGTTTTCAACTTTGTAAGAAGAATTACTTTTGCAGTTAAGTTGAGATTTTTGTTAAAAACTACATAAAACTTTCAACTGAACTTGTCATATAAAAGTTAAAAATGACCAAAAAAATAATATAACTTAGTATATATGCATATCATTTGTTTCCTCTGATAAAAACTGTGTGTTAAATAAATCTTGAATTTAACTTCTAAAAATAAAAAAAGATAAAAAATAAAAGATTTTCATAAAGTTAATTTAGATTTGTCTTCCTCTTTTATTTGCTTATAAATAATGTTTATACTAAAGCTAAAAAGAAATATTAATATTTTTCTCGTTAATTTATACAGAGGTACTAGATGGAAAAGAAATAACTGAAACATCAAGACAGTTTCTTAGAAAATGGCACGCAAATAAAGAAACACAGAAAAAGAAACGAGATGAAATTTATCAGAGAAGCGCGTACACAGACTTGGGAGATGGTGAGTGAGATAAGCTTGAACTTATTTATGACATCTATGGAAAAAGGAAATTGGCCTATAATTTTCAATGATTTTTATTAACATGTTTAAAATAAAAGGGTTAACTACTTAGACACGCCCTGGTAGACACGCCCAGGGCTATTTTCAAACTATTCTAATGGACCAGTTCCTTTTAATCTACATCCCTATAAAATTTTGAATATGCATGACCCCAGCCCTTTCTAACTTCTTGTTAAGAAAGATCCAGCAGATGTATTTCTATGCCAGAGAATACCTTGAAGGTTATAAGGAAGTTCATGATATGTTATGTGTTGTTAAGATATTTTACAGTACTGTATATAAGATATGATTTTGATGTATGTTGTTAAGATATTTTACAGTATTGTATATAAGATATAATTTTGACATATGTTGTTAAGATATTTTACAGTACTGTATATAAGATATAATTTTGACATATGTTGTTAAGATATTTTACAGTATTGTATATAAGATATAATGTTGATGTATGCTGTTAAGATATTTTACACTACTGTATATAAGATATAATTTTGATGTATGCTGTTAAGATATTTTACACTACTGTATATAAGATAAAATTTTGCTGTATGCTGTTAAGATATTTTACACAACTGTATTTAAGATATAATTTTGACCTATGTTAAGATATTTTACAGTACTGTATATAAGATATAATTTTGACGTATGTTAAGATATTTTACAGTTCTCTGTATACCATAAGATATAATTTTGAGATATGTTAAGATATTTTACAGTACTGTATATAAGATATAATTTTGATGTATATTTATGTGCAGGTCATCAAAGATCGTCGGAGTTACCTCCGGTAAAGGATCCTACCCGCCCTGTGAAAAGCAGTCAGATCCCAGGCTACATGATGCCAGGTAGGTTGAAGGCACTTGTAACTGTGTCTGATTTCCACACCTAAGTATATAGCTGTGTATGGCATCTCACTTTGAGGCACCAAGTATATAAAATATATGTCACAAAATATATATATAATTCTAGACCTCACTTATCTGCCCTTCTTCATAAAATTTGCATAACATTGAATTTCAATTTTGCAGCCAGTCCAAAATTAATGTTTTATTACTTGATGGGTAAGAAATGTCCACGTTACGATAATTTTATAAAGGACTATTGGGCTGACTGCAATATTCAATCTTGGCTTATCTCCCCTTTCAATACATTATGCATCTGGCAACCAGTCTGCCCTTTATTGATGTGTCCTGTATGTGTTGCTGATGGTGACGGTTTTATTCTTTGATGTGACATTAATTACCTGGGGAGTTGTGTAACTGAAGCGGTTTCTTATGTCTGTGTATAAACATTGTGTCCCAAATCAGATATAAATCAATGTTGTTGACATGCATGATGTTATTTCTAAAAACATAAAGTATATATTTGCTGCACCTGATAATAGACACCCAATTACCACATAGCTTGTTTCCCTGTATGCTTAAGAAGCTTGTTTCCGAGCCATCACATTTATAATGCTTTGGTGTTGGTGGGACGATTTTCCATGTTCTTTCCATATAAACAGGAGGAGATGAGATATCTTCGTAAAATAAAAACCTAGGAATAATAAAACTTGGAGCAATAAAACATACCTAGTATAAAGCTTTCATTCAGCAATTATTATTTTGTTAGGCACTGTACATTATTTTATTTACATTTCTTATACAGAATGAAAAAAATCAACAATTCTTCTTTTCTCAAAATAAGGAAACTTTACTTATGAAATCAATATTTATGAATAAACATCTGTCTTTTTTCTTTGTTCCAACTAATGAAAGAACTATTTTTGTTTCTAAATCACCATTAATTACTTTTCAGACATAAGCCATTTAAGTGATTTCACTGAGGTATACACAGGTTAACCTATAGGATAGACCAGTCTTTTCATCCTCGTCACTTGCTTCCTTATTGTATAGTATCTATAAAACTATCTATGGAAAGTTAGAAGAGATGATTAGAACAGAATACTTCCATGCATGTGACCCCGTGTATAATCAGCTAGAACTCAGCAGCCCGTCGTTAGCCTTTAGTTTGCCGCTGTATCATGAGAATGCCTGTAATGTTACATTCATTGCAATTTTTTTATCAACAGGTCCCCCCGTGTGATTTCCCAGTCAGCTTCTTCTAGCTCTGGTTTTATCATGATATACTTACACTTTAAATCAAAGTACAAAATGTACAAAAAAATCTATCAGCATATTGTTCTAATTAATCAGTTCACCCCTACATTTTTAATATGGACTTGCCCAGTCTTTGATTTGCTAAGGTTCAAATGTGACTTTAAGGGGGAATGGGTTAATCAAACCAATGCCTACGATGAATATACATATATATAAATGTCAATATTTTGGTATTTTTATTTTCAAAATCAACCCTTTTTATGTTTTTCTTACATCATTAATGTTTCAATTTCCACAAATTTAATGTTTATATAATGATTCAAATAGCAAGTTAAAAACCTACATGTGTTCTGTCAACAGTTTGCTTTTTTAGGTGAAATATGCTAGAGAACATTGTACGGATTTAGAAGCGTTCATTATAAAAACTGTATAAGACTTTTTCATTACATAATCTGACGACATATATAATGTACTAAGTAATGCCATGTCACCATCTTCTCGATAACAGCCAAGACAATATTGAGGACACATATCAGAGGAGGTAGGACTTAGTATATAACTGGGGACTGACGATAACTCTTAATGCTTCCTGTCTTCTACAAAATGTAGTCGAAATAACAACACTATATATCTGTCCAGCCATGTAAATGTGGCTAAGAATCAGTAACATAGTAGTTATTTTGTATATATTTGATTTTGTCATGGTATTAAAAATGAATCTTTTGACCGCATACTAATCAGATCTGGTTGTAAGCTTTGGGAATTCACTGTGGGCCGACTTTAACAACAGATGGATATATACCTGACTAGCTGTAGTCTATATGTTAGTAGTTTAGACAGCAGTATATGGCCAGATACTTATCTTGCATGTTTTATCCAATAGGACTCATGATGAAAGGTGAGACTCACATTAAACAGATAGCCGTATTATTGTGTTTGGACTGTCATGTTTATATATATAGAAGCTTGCATTGCATGTGTTGTTTGCATGGTTATATTGGTTTTGTACCTAATAAATTTAGTTGTGATACTAAACAATGACAAACTGTTCATAATGAACATTTCAATGTATTTATACAAGAACTGTTTAATTTAATAATCAATATGTATCATGACATTTAAAACTGTTATAACACATGACTAAAATGCCCAGTATTTCTACGGTGCAATGCGTATACACATTATCAAAGATCATGAAAAGGAGTATGTGTCAATGGGTGAAGGTTTGACCTAGTACTCGACAGAGTAAATCAGATAATTGGGAGGATTTCCAGAAGCTATGATCCCAGTTTTACCCCTATCCAAAAAAAATCATAGCGTAAGAATGCATGTAAGAAGTTAGCAAATCAATAAAAAATCACATACTGAAGATTCGTTTGTTTTGTAGTGAACCCTAATACTTGATTTACAGTGTGAAATTTGACTTGAACTCATTCACTCCTTTCACCCCTGTATTTAGACAATAGACTATGATAGCCTTTGATATGGAGCAGTCCAAATGCCTCATTAGGTGTCAGTGGGTTAACACAGAGATTATCTATATCACAAAAATTGTGTACTGCTACATTCAATATGAATTATACTTGTCAATAATATATGATAATACGCTGAGCCTGAAGTAGAGAGAACACCAACAATTTACTGAGGGCAGTATTGACTGAAGAAAGGGGACCACCTGGTTATAAATAGCATGCCGACTTTTTTACAACTGACTTTACTGGAAATATTGTGTGTAAAATCAGGGAAAACAAAACTGAAAGGACATGGATCCGATAACTAAAAGAAATCCAAAAACAGCCAATAGAATTTAAACGTACATTTCACATCATTTTACTGACATATTGATGATATCTACACTTAGCAAACCAACCAATCATGGCAAACAATTTGAAGGTGATGATACAATGCTAAAATCCATATACATGCAACTAAGATTGAACTAACATTGCTTACATGCTACTTGTGTTTCAAAAGATTGTTGCATAATTTTGTTGGTGAAAATGTCTTGTTGCTAAGGTGAATGTTTGTATTATGTTTTGTGCAGGTTTTGAAGCCCGTAGGTCTGCTAAGAAGCATAGAAGCGGTATGCCATTACACACATGTCAATAACAGTAGAATTGCGGTGTAAACAAGAAACCTGTCCAATAATCTCTTCCTTCCAGTCCTTCCCTGGCAAATATAACTCCGTAGCGTTAGTGCTAGACGTATAACTGGTAAATTCCTGGTCAGGAGTAGACATTTAATACGTAGACATCACGGCCACACTTACACAGTGTTGCCTGACTATGTCACATAAATATGTTGCTAGCTGTAGTCTGTGGTAGACAATCCATATTTGTACATTTTTGGTATTACTGTACATCATTACATCAGATGAGAAGTAGGTTCTGTGTATGGTTGTACAAACTGGCCTACGTGTCAAAGAAATAATCTTCAGTGATTTTTCTTCCTCTTTTCGACAGGAGCCTGTGCCTTGTGACTTTTGGGGAAATGTCACATGCAAAAAACATGATTTTTTGGAAAATAAATTGATTTTTGCAATGATTTTGGAAAAATACAGCAGAAAATATCTAAAGGAAGGCACCTTTAAAAGGCCCCAAATTTCACCTTTTAAAAAATCACTGAAGTTATGTAGATATTTCTCATGTCGCTGCAAACTTATCAGCATTGTTGTTGCACCACTTGTGATATGTTCAGACAATATGACATCATTGGTAGACAAATCCTTTAGTGTTTTTTTGCCTCAATGTTTTTGTATGTATCATGTATTTATTATGACGTGGATGGTGGAGATATATGTCTTGGGATAATGCAGTATCTTTTATATATGTTTCATTTCTAAGGTCTGCAGGTGACGGGTTTTAATTCTGCTATATAAATTTGGTCTATGTATATAAACGGGAATAAGTGCATCTCAATCTTTTTCTATTCTCCCTAACCCAAGTGCATGTGATGGTATATGTGGGTTGGTATTATCTGTGTATTAATTCTGTGTTGAGGACCATCCATTGTCATTGCTAGTTTTCCTCGCTCTGAAGTATAGGCGCTTTAGGTCTGAAATTCTCATTGTGCTTTTTGTAAGGAGAAACATGTAATAACTTTTAATCTTTCTTAGATTTATAACAAAAACAATTTTCATTCTTGTATTATTGTTTGATGTAATTTAATTGTCTGATTGACTCGTCATTTTCATTCTTATAATAAAAAGGGTTCCATACAAAATTACAAATATACAAGTATACAAATGTACAACAGAAAACACAAAACCCTCAATACCTCCGAATCAACCTCAGGGCAGAAGGGTGTAGCATATCACATTGTCACCAACCTTGTACACTGTGTACCACGAATATCAATGAGCAGTCCTACATTCTACCTGTATCACATTGTCACCAACCTTGTACATTGTGTAACACGAATATCAATGAGCAGTCCTACATTCTACCTGTATCACGTTGTCACCAACCTTGTACACTGTGTAACACGAATATCAATGACCAGTCCTACATTCTACCTGTATCACATTGTCACCAACCTTGTACATTGTGTAACACAAATATCAATGAGCAGTCCTACATTCTACCCGTACCACATTGGACTCACCCTGAAACATGAAAAAGCTGGCCAAGAAAATAGTCTGCATTACATTGTACAGTAAAGTCGCCCTTATGTCCATCTATATATGGAAAGATTTGAAATATGGTTTTTAATTTTTAATTCTCTTAAACATATAGATTTTGTTTTAGATCTAACATTTTCATTAATCAAAAAATTTAGGCTTTTACCTATTTTAAGTTAGTTTTATGTATACGTACATAAAGACAGCTTTTTTTCATTATATAAATTTGTATATATATATATGTTTAAATGTTCCCAGATACAGTGATCACACTGTTTTAAGTTCTACAGGAGTGATAGGGGATTGCTTTCCTCTATCTCTTATTCAGACTTTTGTTTGGAAATAGTTTTAGATTTAGAAGTATTTGATGGAAATATCAAGGTTTACCCTTCTTGCTTAACCAGACTATACTATTATCTGTAGATTTTAATACGATTAGATACATTTATAATTATGATTATAAATTTAGACAGGGTTTAGCTAGTGTTGACCCTTTTTAATGAAAGATTTCAAAATTTGGATGAATATTTCAGTACATTGTAGTGCGTTGTAGTGATTGTTTTAATGTAGATTTCCAGTGGAAAACTTCAACACTGCTGTCTTAAAATTCAACAGTATAAGCCATAAAATCTGATGAAAAAATATTTTAACATCTTTGAGAGAAATTTGAACAAGAATAATCCTTTGTAACCAATCAATAGATCATTATATGTGCTGAATTGTGTAATTTAAAAGTTTCTTGAAAAAACATTTCAGAATTTGCTTGTGCTGTGTATTTTTATAAATGTTACATTTATGTTTCTTTTGAATTTGGTTACGGAATGTTTTAAATGTGCATATAACATTGAAAATAATTGCCAATTGCTTCAGCAAAACTTACAGATTGTAATGAGAAATTGATGGGTTTGGTATAATCGTGTGACAATGTCATGTGACATGTACCTGCACTTCCTCATTCTCACGTTTGTGTTTATCAGGACTCCCTAGGAAACAGTTTGACGAGTTATTGGCCCGAACGGCCACCATGGAGCCTCCCTCAAGGGAGAAACAGCCAACCCCAGTGAAAGCTAAGAGTGGGGTTCTTAGATCAAAGTAAGTTTACCATGTCTGAAGTTACGTATAAGGTGATGTAAGCTGGACGTTATGAGTGGAATATTGAGCTGGACATTATGAGTGGAACAATGAGCTGGACATTATGAGTGGAATATTGAGCTAGACATTGTGAGTGGAACATTGAGCCGGACATTATGAGTGGAACATTGAGCTGGACGTTATGAGTGGAACATTGAGCTGGATGTTATAAGTGGAATATTGAGCTGTACATTGTGAGTGGAACATTGAGCTGGACGTTATGAGTGGAATATTGAGCTGGATGTTATAAGTGGAATATTGAGCTGGACATTGTGAGTGGAACATTGAGGTGGACGTTATGAGTGGAACATTGAGCTGGACATTATGAGTGGAACATTGAGCTGGACGTTATAAGTGGAATATTGAGCTGGACATTGTGAGTGGAACATTGAGCTGGACGTTATAAGTGGAATATTGAGCTGGACATTATGAGTGGAACATTGGGCTGGATGTTATGAGTGGAACATTGAGCTGTACGTTATGAGTGGAACATTGAGCTGGACATTATGAGTGGAACATTGGGCTGGATGTTATGAGTGGAACATAGAGCTGGACATTATGAGTGGAACATAGAGCTGGACGTTATGAGTGGAACATTGAGCTGGATGTTATGAGTGGAACATAGAGCTGGACATTATGAATGGAACATAGAGCTGGACATTATGAGTGGAACATAGAGCTGGACTTTATGAGTGGAACATTAAGCCGGACATTATGAGTGGAATATTGAGCTTGACATTAAGAGTGGAATATTGAGCTGGACATTATGAGTGGAACATTGAGCTGGACATTATGAGTGGAACATTGAGCTGGACGTTATGAGTGGAATATTGAGCTGGATGTTATGAGTGGAACATTGAGCTGGACGTTATGAGTGGAATATAATTAAGAATTGATGGGATAGAAATAAGTCTTTTCGTTTATGAACTGAAAATTAAAAGTATGATAAGTTAGACTTACTAAGTCTGCAGTGATTTTTCTACCTCTTATTGACAGGGGCCTGTGCCTTGTGACTTTGGGAACATATAACACACAAAAAGGATGATTTTAGGAAAATAAATTGATTTTTGCAATGATATGGGGAAGCAAAATTTATCAAGGGGCATTGGCTTTGATAAGGCCCCAAATTCACCTTAAACAAATCAAATTGTTATATTAGAACAGGTGCTTGAAGTGATTAAGTTGCTAATTTAGACCTAGAAGTCATGCAGGTGAGTGAATGACTTATATAAGACCAGCCAAGTTATTCATGTAAGAGGGGATGACTAAGTTAGACCACTTCAGTTGTTTGACCAAGTTAGACCACTTCAGTTGTTTGACCAAGTTGGACCACTTCAGTTGTTTGACTTAGTTAGACCACTTCAGTTGTTTGACCAAGTTAGACCACTTCAGTTGTTTGACTAAGTTAGACCACTTCAGTTGTTTGACCAAGTTAGACCACTTCAGTTGTTTGACTAAGTTAGACCACTTCAGTTGTTTGACTAAGTTAGACCAGTTAAGGACACATACTACCTATCTCTTGCTTTTGTGGAGTTTTCTTTTAAAGACTGAAATGATATGAAAACTTCAGGTAATTATGTAAACCAGTTAAGTATAAATTGTGTTGAGAATGTGAGGACAAGTAAACAGCCGAGCCCTGGATTGTGATATAACACTATGCTTGCCTGTTGGTAGAACTATAGTGATGACCTGATGGCCTGTTCAGGTAAGGTATAAGATTCTCCACTTTGTGTGATTGTAGTTTGTTTACTCGTGTGTTCCCGTCCGAGTGTTGGTTGTTTACTGACAAGTCTGTATCACCTACATCTAGCCTACACCGCCAGAGGTCATGACTTAAGGTCACAAGCTCACAATGTCATTTCAATCTTCTGATGAATTGAGTAATTAACGTATTTAGTTTGTTCTGCCTGGCAGCTCGACCAAATGTCACAGCCTCATTGTCATCTCCATTGTCTCTTACAATATCACCCCAATGTTGTAGCACCACCCTTCAATGTAAAAACTGACCTCTTCATCATCAATATTACATTTTTATAAGACACAAATATTGTTGTAGATGTATCTTGTTAGTATCATGATAGAGTCCTTGTTGCTGGAAAACGCTAGTCTGCCTTGGTCCCAGGAAACGGTAGTGGCATGTTCAATGTAGATTGACCAGTGTTGTATTTGTGTCGGTATTTGGTCAAGCAGAGTCATTGTAACACCAGTCATTTTGAGAGTCCTAGCAAACAGTGTCTGTTCCTTTTCTTGTTCGCATACGTGTTTCACATAACTATCAGGAGTCAACATTCAGTCACATGACCATCACATGACCACTATTGGTCCTTGCTGTTGTACTCCTGTCTGACTGCCATAGTCCCATCCCATTGTCAATCATCAAATAATAAATGTGCCACATTCTGCAGTCATATCATTGGCAGAGAACTACCAGTGTTCATGTATTGTGATTTACATTCCACCATTGTTGAGATTTCTTGAGGTCTGTTTTGGTTCATCATCATGGAATTGTCTGGGCTTATAGTCACTTGTGTAATTTTCATTTCGTGAGTGATTTGACACTAGACCTGTGTGTATGACAGTATGTATATGAGTCCTATTTCTGTGAGATGTGTAATTAACAAAATTTTAACACACCATAATACACCAGATATGCATTGGTCCATGTTATAGTATTTGGCAAAATGTATTTGCCAAATTATAAAATGATATGGGGAATACATTTTGCCAAATAATATTTGAAATACAGGTATCAAGATCAACACATCAAGCTACCAACAGTGACGTACATAAACTAAGTACACGATTTCACTTTGCGATGTGTATTTCCTTTCAGACTTCCTGATATATATGAGAGCTCACAATTTATGACCGTACAAACTTGGTTTTGCTGAGCACTGGTACCACTAGTAAGGATAACAAGTTGTATACTGTCACCCATCCTAACTCTGTGTTGGTTGTATTAAACAAATCACTCCTTACATTGGTCTTCATCGCCCATCTCCCATCTTCATCTCCCATCTCAAATCTTCATCTCTCATCTCCGATCTTCATCGCCCATCTCCCATCTTCATCTCCCATCTTCATCTCCCATCTTCATCGCCCATCTTCATCGCCCATATCCCATCTTCATCACCCATCTCCCCTCTCCCATCTCCCATCTTCATCGCCCATCTCCCATCTTCATCGCCCATCTCCCATCTTCATCTCCCATCTTCATCGCCCATCTTCATCTCCCATATATCAGGTTCTAATTGAGACAGGTACCATATCATGGTGATGTCTAGCTGTTTTGTTGTCTTAGCCCTGCTACTAAACAAACAAAAAGTCTGTAGTAATGTTATAATTCTTTAACGTGATTAAACTTTAGACTTCATAAACATTCACTTTCACTGTTAGATGTATATGTTAGATAGTTGTCCTTGTTTGCCTTGGTAACTATGTACCCAGTATATGCTATGGGCTATCTTTATCAGAAAGAATGGTACAGTAACCTTATTACAGGTAACTTAAGATAAATTAGTTTGGTAATGCCAAAATTAGTCATAGAGTTTTGTGTTGAACTGAAAAATTCCTACCCTATAGGACACCAATACGATGCTCTTTATAAACAAGAATTTGCCAAAAAATGTGTTCATGTGTTCATAGAAACAGTTTTTACTGCATCTTTTTTGGTGCATTTCTAAGAGAAAGTACATTACCTTAAATTCTCCTCCCATTCCGTTTCTCTTTAACTGTCTTTCCATCCACATGATAGGATACTAGCAGTAATGGAATTAGAAAGGATCATAAAACTTCCAAACATTGTTCTGACACCTGTGTTTCCCACTACATACTTCCCAATTGTTTGGTGTGACTAGCTTCATGTTTCCTATGTTATGATAGCACAGGACATTGTTACAAAATGTGACCTTGACCCCCATACAAAATTGACCTTGGCCTGTACTTAACATTGCATGTGACTTTGCCTTGACTTGTACTACTTGACATGTGTGGTGAGCGTTTGCCTTGCATGGTGGTTTTGTGTGTGTCTCACTGCAGTGGTTAATTAACTAATGATGCATCATAATATCAAATCAGCTTATATTTATAATAATTTTTAATCAAAACCTAATGTCAGTGTGCTGGTTTTATGATGAATTGTAAATTTGAATGAACAATTTTGTAACTTCCTTTGTAATATTGATTGTAGAGATGTAGCTATAGTCCCTCCTGTAGTGTTAGCAGCCTCATTATGAGATAATTTACATTTATTTAATTTGAAATGTCCTTTGGAAGTGTATAATGCATTGTATCTACAAAAATTATCAATGATTCTTGGTCCATGTATTAATGTGATTGATATAATTATAAAACACCTTCACTTCCCCCGTGACATAGTTTATGGGAATAAACTGGAATCTAATTCTGCCTGTAGGCAAAGTTTGTCCTAATCTCTCCCAAATTGATGCATAAATTTCAGTGAAATTTGTTATGCCATATCTGTATGCTCTTCATGATTGTTAGTTTTATGATTTACTAGTATTAGTTAGACAAATACAACCAAACAAAAGTTTGGCCTTAAAAGATACAGCAGGTATAAGCTAGTCTGTATCTTACAGTCATTGTAAAATATATAAGTTATAAACCATTGTGGAAAGCCAACCAGTAAAAATACTGTATAAATAGGACCAGTATAAATATAGATCCATTTTTAAATGAAGATAAAAAATGGCCCAAATAGACAAGGTGATAGTTTGTTAACTTGTAACTGTAGATACATGTTCACTGAAGTCCCTGTACATGATCCTTGTACACAGGTTTACTGGTCCATGTAAACAGTTACAATGCTCCCTGTATGCAGGTATACTGGTTCCTGTACACAAATTTACTTGTCAATGTACATTCGTTCAATGGTCCCTGTACAAAGGTATGCATATTGTACTCTGGTCACTGATTACAGGTAAACTGGTCCTTTTAAACAGGTATACTGGTTCCTAGACACAGGTATACTGGTCCATTTAAACAGGTATACTGGTTCCCAAACACAGGTATACTGGTCCATTTAAACAGGTACACTGGTTCCCAAACACAGGTATACTGGTCCATTTAAACAGGTATACTGGTTCCTAGATACAGGTATACTGGTCCATTTAAACAGGTATACTGGTTCCTATGGTATAACAGGTATATTGGTCCTTTTAAACAGCTATACTGGTTCCTAGACATAGGTATACTGGTCTTTATAGACAGAGTCCCCTGATATTGTTACTGATATGTTTGAATGTTTACACTCCCTTTCTCCACAGACAAGCTGACGAGTTTGCAACACTACCACCTTCCTCTTCAACAGTGGCCTCAGCACCACTCAGGCGACGCCCACTTATGAGTATGACCTTTGAACTGTCTGGAAACCTGGACAGCACCCAACACATACACTCCGGGATGATCATACACTGACATAAATTGACTTCAGAGGTCTCACACGTTAAACACCAATATCATGGCCACAGAATGAGGATGTGTGAATTAAGTGTTCTGTTTCATACGCAGAGTGTTTGACGCCAGAAATCAGCTGTTGGGTGTTTTATACAGCAATCATATGACGCTTAAGTAAACCTTTTGAAGGGTGCTTGATCTTCTCAATATTGTCTCAATAAATAGTGACTTTGTACTGGAATCAATGCTGACCTTTTCGGGAGACTGAATACTTTAATCATAGCTTGTAGACCTTGACCTTTGACCTAATTGCTGGCCTGACAATGTACAGGGTGCCATATGCATATATATACCTGATACATGAACTGGAAGGAATAGCTGTCTTTAACAGAAGACCAATGTTCTAAGAAGGTGTTCCGAGCAAACGACACACCAAGGTTCCTGGAACAATATGACACACTGAGATTCCAAGAATGCTGTTTGTCATCTGCACTTTTCACTGCAGACTCAGCAATCTCAATGATATATTAAGTAAATCACTTGACCAGGTAATCTGGTGGTGTCTTTACTGGAAAAAACTTGTGAACTGACGTATTTTTAACACAATTCTACTGAAGAATTTGTTTTGTCTGTTCTCACCACCAGTAGAAAATGTATTACAGTCTCTGTATGCTTTGGAATTATAGATTGAATAGGGTTTTTACAATAATAAATGATATTTTATCTTCCAAACAGTTGTATACATTGTTCAGCATATCTCAGAGGGCACACTCTAGACCTCTTGGTCAACTGGGGCTGAAGACATTTTACTTTTTTGTTCTTGTGTGATTTTAATTGACCTGTAAATTATCTGATGATTTAAAAGTCATTTATCTACAAAATCTTGTTAAGTGCAATTTTGTTTGTTAGTAAGTTATGAATAACAATATATATACCATATAGTATAGGAGAATTATTTTCTCAGAACACAAAGTAAAATTCACCGTTTGATACCAGTTCTTCAGTATCTATTTTTGTACACTTTTTGTCTCATTTTCATTGACGGCTTGGCTCAGTACAACCCTATCAGTATTACAGTGTTAACAGCGATGTCTATACACATTACAATATTAACTCATATACCCCTGAAGACACATTTGAACTCTTTCCAATTCAATGGTTGGAATAGTTCATTATGAAATTTCAGGGATGGATGAGTTAACTATTTATATTTGTCTACACATTACAATGTATTATGTGGTACAGTACCCTAGTTATAACCAGACAATTCAGTCTATGAAAATAAAATCTGAACAACTATTTTTTAGAAACTTATTATTAAGCTACTTAGTTTTAAGCGGTGTCCAGATTAACAAGGTGTTCTGGATGTTAGTGTCTGGATAAACACAATCCCACTGTGTTGTCTCTCCGTCCCGTGTAGATAAATAGTTTGGGTAAAGGTGCTATACCATTATACCGTCCACTTCCTGTTTATATAATCAATGTAACTTTTGAGTGTTAATATATTGTTTGTTAAAATCTCTGTGATATCAATTAAATTATTCCTTTCATATTGTTTAAGTGTGCTTGTATTTTCCAACTGGCTAGAATTCATCGATTAACAAATTTTTCAATGAACTTGCTGCAAGCATTGCTAAAGAATGTCTTGTCAGTCCAGTATTTTTACACAATAGGCCTACGTGTAGATGTTGCTTATTAGCTAACTCTCATTGCCTGTAATTTTTATCAGTCAGGACCATCTACAAATAATTCATAGGTCCGGAACAAAAATATGTATATGTATCTGGTATATGCGACTGATGGTAATATTTTTCAATGTATTTAATGAGAATGTCAGTATTAAGTCAGTATTTGATTTATAAAACTGTGTTGTCACTTGGATAAGTGAGTGTCAGTTTGTGTGAGAGTGAGTGTGGATAGGTGAGTGTCAGTTTGTATGAGAGTGAGTGTCAGTTTGTGTGAGAATGATTGTGGATAGGTGAGTGTCAGTTTGTGTGAGAGTGAGTGTGGACAGGTGAGTGTCAGTTTGTGTGAGAGTGAGTGTCAGTTTGTGTGAGAATTATTGTGGATAGGCGAGTGTCAGTTTGTGTGAGAATGATTGTGGATAGGTGAGTGTCAGTTTGTGTGAGAGTGAGTGTGGATAGATGAGTGTCAGTTTGTGTGAGAGTGAGTGCGGATAATGATTGTGGATAGGTGAATGTCAGTTTGTGTGAGAGTGAGTGTGGACAGGTGAGTGTCAGTTTGTGTGAGAGTGAGTGTGGATAGACGAGTGTCAGTTTGTGTGAGAGTGAGTGCGGATAAGTGAGTGTCAGTTTGTGTGAGAGTAAATGTGGATAGGAGAGTGTCAGTTTGTGTGTGAGTGAGTGTGAATAGGTGAGAGTGAGTGTGGATAGGTGAGAGTGAGTGTGGATAGGTGAGTGTGAGATTGTCAATTCAAGAATTGGTGACATTTTTACAGGTGTTTTCTGTGGACTCCTTATTTTTAACACAACACACATTACAAAATTTGAAATTTTAGCTTTAACCTTTGATTAAATACCAAGAAGCTGTGTGTCTAAAGATGGGGTTAGGGTAACTTTTATTCTGTGTGTGGGGTTGGTAAGCTGGGTTTATATAGGAGGTTCAGAGTACCTTTTATTGTGTATTTGTAGGGAGGTAGAGTGGGTGTGCCTGTTTAACCCTTTCAACACTGTAGACCATAATTGACTCGTCTAGATGAATGCATGGTTTTATAGGGGTGAAAGGTTTAACGGTGGGGTGGTCAAGGATACACTATAAACTAGTCATATTCATATTTGTGCATGGGTTATCGTTATGAATATTCTGTAAGAGAAATATGAATGGCCTTTGCACTTCTGTTGTCTGCTTGCATTCATTTTTCACTGATGTGTGGTAATTTTTTATTATGTCTTATATAGAAGCCTTTTATCATAGATATTAAATTTCTTTTCGCTTTTGTTAATTTTTAATACATTTTTTCAGTTTTCATTCTATTTCATAGCATTTGAAGGGCATTTGACAACAGAAGCCATAAAGCATTGCAGAGCATTTAAATTTGATCCCATTATAGAAATGGTAAACTTTGTAATGTTGCACTCATGTTTTATGGACAGATTGTAAGAAGTTTGTCAAGTTAGTTATTGTAGCTGGTAAGTGCTGTTGTACCTAAATGTCAGTACAATGTATTGGGTAATTTGATTTATAGAGTTAATTTCTTTGTCAGATTTACAGCAAGGTTTTACTGTGCTTTTAGATTGTATGAATTAAGTGTGTTTCACTGTATATGTGCATTACCTATTATTTAATTTTTGTATTGAATGAATTACCAGTATTAATTTATTGCTATCTCAATCTCTCTTGTGCAAGAAGTACTCAGAATGTGTAACACAGCTGGGCTCAGACACATTCAACTTTGATGTATAATATTCATACAGACATTTATGAATGTGTTTGGTCCTTGTGATGGAGAGCCCCATCTACAGTAACTGTGAACATTTTAGCTATGGAGGAGACTGGAGTGTAGTTATGTTGTATTAACAAGGGGGTAACGGAATACTCAGATACGTAGGCTATGATATCTGTAACGGTGTTATATCATTGACAACATTAAGAAATGATTTCATGACATGGATATAGTAAATGTTCCATGGTAAACTTGAGAGCATAGTAGTTTGGGGATCCTGAGAACATGGTAGTTGATTGGGGGTTGTATTGATAAGATGGTAGATTGTGGGGGTTGTTAAGAACATGGTAATCTAGTTTTGGGGCTGATGAGAACATGGTACATGTAGTTCTGGAGGTTTTGCGTGTTCAGAACATGTACAGGTTTGCCTAAAAGATGAAACTTTGGTAAATGTATTAAATACTTAAATGTCATTTTCCCAATATAGGGCACTGCCATGATTGTTTCATTTGTCAGTTTCCTCAAAATTTTCAATCATATAGGTATAAAAAATATATGTCAATGTATTTTTTTTAAATACCAGATACTGGTATGAACCGGTATTTATTCAAATATTTTCATGATATCATTTCCCCTTTGAGCTTATGTTGATGCCCTCATACCCTTATCCATCACTGCGACTTTGTTTGTTTTAATTGCTACTTTAAGTAACTTTCTAATGTGTTCAACACCTGTAATCCCATGTGTGCTATGTAACAGAATTTTTCATATTATCTAGATCTATCCTATGTCACATGTGAATTACTTGCCTCATAAGGCCAAGCGAAAAATATTTTCTTCTTTTTTTTCTTCTTTTATGTGTTTACCATTCATTTTCAAAATTATTTGCCATTTGACATAGCTGGCAAGAAGTTGTTTGTTTTTTGGGGAAATGAAATACAAAGTGACTACTGTACTTTCCTTTCCTACTTTTGATTTTGATTTTTAATAAATTTATGTTATAGGAAACAGTTATTTTTTGTTTGGCCTAACAGTATGTGGTATCAGTTTGTTCACAGTCACATATGTTAGATGGAAAACTGTTTGAGATGTACAAGATGAGCTCTATTTGTGACATATTAGTCTGACCGTTGTTCTGTAGGAGAAGGGTGGGCGGGACCACAGACTGACCATTGTACTGTAGGAGAAGGGTGGGAGGGACCACAGACTGACCGTTGTACTGTAGGAGAAGGTTGGGAGGGACCATAGACTGACCGTTGTACTGTAGGAGAAGGGTGGGAGGGACCGTAGACTGACCGTTGTTCTGTAGGAGAAGGGTGGGAGGGATCACAGTCTGACTGTTGTTCTGTAGGAGAAGGGTGGGAGGGACCACAGACTGACCGTTGTACTGTAGGACAAGGGTGGGAGGGACCACAGACTGACCATTGTACTGTAGGAGAAGGGTGGGAGGGACCACAGTCTGACCGTTGTCCTGTAGGAGAAGGGTGGGAGGGACCACAGGCTGACCGTTGTTCTGTAGGAGAAGGGTGGGAGGGATCACAGACTGACAGTTGTACTGTAGGAGAAGGGTGGGAGGGACCGTAGGCTGACCGTTGTTCTGTAGGAGAAGGGTGGGAGGGACCACAGTCTGACCGTTGTCCTGTAGGAGAAGGGTGGGAGGGACCACAGTCTGACCGTTGTCCTGTAGGAGAAGGGTGGGAGGGACCACAGGCTGTCCGTTGTTCTGTAGGAGAAGGGTGGGAGGGACCACAGTCTGACCGTTGTCCTGTAGGAGAAGGGTGGGAGGGACCACAGGCTGTCCGTTGTTCTGTAGGAGAAGGGTGGGAGGGATCACAGACTGACTGTTGTTCTGTAGGAGAAGGGGGGGAGGGACTACAGGCTGACCGTTGTTCTGTAGGAGAAGGGTGGGAGGGGTCACAGTCTGACTGTTGTTCTGTAGGAGAAGGGTGGGAGGGACCACAGACTGACTGTTGTACTGTAGGAGAAGGGTGGGAGGGACCACAGTCTGGCCGTTGTACTGTAGGAGAAGGGTGGGAGGGACCACAGTCTGACTGTTGTACTGAAGGTGAAGGGTGGGAGGGACCGCAGTCTGACCATTGTACTGTAGGAGAAGGGTGGGAGCGACCGCAGTCTGACCGTTGTACTGTAGGAGAAGGGTGGGAGGGACCGCAGTCTCTGTGTCATGTTTAAATGTTTTATGTGGTTATTTGGGGAGAAGGTTAAGCAAGTAACAGTCTTTGGTGTAAGGTGTAAAATGTTAAGTACAATTACTTTATTGGAAGATTAAATCTATGAAATGATGTACAATGTAATGAATTATAAATTGTAAAGATATGGATGGAAACGTGTAGGGAACACTACTTGTGTGCATAGGTGTCAGCATGCAGAGATAATTTACACAGCTACAGTATATATGTAATGTGTCATAAAATTGCTCAAGTTTTTCTGTGTTAATGGGTGGAAGGAAAATATTGTTATCAATGCAAGCATAGAAATAATAATAAAAAAGAAAACACAAATGAAAAATTTAGTTTTGTTGTCTATTGATACATTTGGTTCTATAAATAGAGATTTCCAAATGTTGGTATGTTATTGTATTTACCAAACTTTTGTAAAATTATTATTAAATATGAACAATACATATCATATATTATAATATATATGAATTAACTAGTGATTTAGGTGACAGGTAACCAACCATCAGAGATTAACCCTTTCTTCTTCTGGATCACTTTGAGATCGGCTCTTAAGACGAACTGGTGGTTTTTTGTAGTCCGTACAGGTTTTTAGCTCACCTGTCTGAAGGGCAAGTGAGCATATGTCATGGTGTGTCGTCCGTAGTCCGTCAACCTTTTCCTTTAAACGACTTCTTCTGAAGAACGAACAGGCCTAGAGTCATGATATTTGAATGAACAAAAATGACCTTGACCTACTTTCAAGGTCACAGCGGTCAAATATGTCAAACACTTCAAACAACTTCTTCTGAAGAACTAAAAGGTATAAAATCTTCATATTTAGCTGGTGGCTTCCAGGGATAGAGCCCAACAAAGTTTGAGAATGAAAATGACCATTGACTTGCTTTTAAGGTCTCAGCGGTCAAATGTGTCAAACTCTTTATATGACTTCTTCTGAAGAACGAATAGGCATAGAGCTATGATATTTGACTGAAAGCTTCGTTGGTAGGAGCCCAACAAAGTTTGAGAACGAAAATGACCTTGACCTACTTTCAAGGTCACAGGGGTCAAATGTGTCAAACGCTTCAAAAGACTTCTGAAGAAGAACTTAAAGGTATAGAATCTTAAAATTTGGCTAGTGGCTTCCTGGGATAGAGCCCGACAAAGTTTGAGAATGAAAATGACTGACTTACTTTCAAGGTCACAGAGATCAACAACATTTCAAAGGATTTTTTCTGAAGAACCAAAAGGAATGGATTTATAAGATTTGGCTGGTAGCTTCTTGGGATAGAGCTAACAAAGTTTGAGAAGGAAAATGACATTGACCTACTTACAAGGTCACAGGGGAAAATATGTCAAACAACTTCTAAAGAAGAACCAAAAAGTATAGAATCTTATAATAATATTTGGCTGGTAGTTTCAACAGAGTCGACAAAGTTTGCGAGGGAAATACCTTTAGTGCAATATATTATTATATGACTGGTGCTAATTCCCATCCCTGATTGGAGGAACGACATCATGTGACGAGTCTGTAAATATGTTACAGACCTCATTCTATGAATAGAAAAGTGTTACAAAGCTCGACCTATAAATAGAAAAGTTTTACAGACCGCTACTAAAAATAGGCCCAGGTGATTTCCCAGTCAGTCTGTCATTCTGTTACCAATCACACTACTGAATTCAACTAAAAATTAATTATCTCATCAAATTCTTAACTATTTGAATATTGATGATGTCGATTGCGCAAATACTATTTACTTGAAATTAAATATCACATGAATTGAATCTGAAATTAAATTTGTGTGTATGCTATTTTGTATTGTTTAAGTTGGTCAGTACCATTTAGAAGTATAAGAAGTCCTTCACTCTGTGATTCCAAAATTGTCCATGCCATCCATTTGTTTATGACTTGAAAAATTATTAATCTCATTGTAAAATGTCATATAATAAAACAATTTTGGACTTCAGTCTCGGTCTATCCCTGATTTACGGACCTGGTCTGAAAATTATTGAGAATATTTTGCTATGACTGCTTAAATATTCAGGTGAGCGATACAGGCCCTCTGGTCATGGAGGTGTATTGGCTGTGACCTTTCTTCCCTTACTAGCTTAAGGCTTTGTAGAATGGAGGCTGCTCTGCTCCTCCACAGAGATTTATTGGGAAGGGCACAACATGCAACTTCTCGCTGATGTTGGTTTACTCTGTGTGCCGACTCGTAAAACTGAAGATGAGTAGGTGTCCAGGGCCGTATTCATGAAACCGTTCTCATGCTCAAGCATGGATTTTGTGCTCAAGCCTCATTTCTTGTTCTGTTGTAAATTAATAATAAAATCTTACTTTGTCGATTAATTAAAGCCAAATACTGTTTTCAATTTCTACAATTAACTTTTTGATTGTTTGACTTGATTAAAGTTTGTTACAAGAAAGTTGGTTTGAGCAAAGCGGTCTTGAATCCTGGTAAGTTTGTCCTTTGACATGGGGAGGCTTCAGGAATCCTGGTAAGTTTGTCCTTTGGCATGGGGAGGCTTTAGGAATCCTGGTAAGTTTGTCCTTTGACATGGATAGGCTTTAGGAATCCTGGTAAGTTTGTCCTTTGACATGGGGAGGCGTTAGGAATCCTGGTAAGTTTGTCCTTTGGTATGGGGAGGCTTTAGGAATCCTGGTGAGTTTGTCCTTTGACATGGGGAGGCTTTAGGAATTCTGGTAAGTTTGTCCTTTGACATGGGGAGGCGTTAGGAATCCTGGTAAGTTTGTCCTTTGACATGGGAAGACTTTAGGAATCCTGGTAAGTTTGTCCTTTGACATGGATAGGCTTTAGGAATCCTGGTAAGTTTGTCCTTTGACATGGGGAGGCGTTAGGAATCCTGGTAAGTTTGTCCTTTGACATGGGGAGGCTTAAGGAATCCTGGTAAGTTTGTCCTTTGACATGGGGAGGCTTTAGGAATTCTGGTAAGTTTGTCCTTTGACATGGGGAGGCGTTAGGAATCCTGGTAAGTTTGTCCTTTGACATGGGGAGGCTTTAGGAATTCTGGTAAGTTTGTCCTTTGACATGGGGAGGCTTTAGGAATTCTGGTAAGTTTGTCCTTTGACATGGGGAGGCTTAAGGAATCCTGGTAAGTTTGTCCTTTGACATGGGGAGGCGTTAGGAATCCTGGTAAGTTTGTCCTTTGACATGGGGAGGCTTTAGGAATTCTGGTAAGTTTGTCCTTTGACATGGGGAGGCTTTAGGAATCCTGGTAAGTCTGTCCTTTGGTATGGGGAGGCTTTAGGAATCCTGGTAAGTCTGTCCTTTGGTATGGGGAGGCTTTAGGAATCCTGGTGAGTTTGTCCTTTGACATGGGGAGGCTTTAGGAATCTTGGTAAGTTTGTCCTTTGGCATGGGGAGGGTTTAGGAATCCTGGTAAGTTTGTCCTTTGACATGGGGAGGCTTTAGGAATTCTGGTAAGTTTGTCCTTTGACATGGGGAGGCTTAAGGAATCCTGGTAAGTTTGTCCTTTGACATGGGGAGGCGTTAGGAATCCTGGTAAGTTTGTCCTTTGACATGGGGAGGCGTTAGGAATCCTGGTAAGTTTGTCCTTTGGCACGGGGACGCTTCAGGAATCCTGGTAAGTTTGTCCTTTGGCATGGAGAGGCTTTAGGAATCCTGGTAAGTTTGTCTTTTGGCATGGGGAGGCTTTAGGAATCCTGGTAAGTCTGTCCTTTGGTATGGGGAGGCTTTAGGAATCCTGGTGAGTTTGTCCTTTGACATGGGGAGGCTTTAGGAATTCTGGTAAGTTTGTCCTTTGACATGGGGAGGCTTAAGGAATCCTGGTAAGTTTGTCCTTTGACATGGGGAGGCTTTAGGAATTCTGGTAAGTTTGTCCTTTGACATGGGGAGGCTTTAGGAATTCTGGTAAGTTTGTCCTTTGACATGGGGAGGCGTTAGGAATCCTGGTAAGTTTGTCCTTTGACATGGGGAGGCTTAAGGAATCCTGGTAAGTTTGTCCTTTGACATGGGGAGGCTTCAGGAATCCTGGTGAGTTTGTCCTTTGGCATGGGGAGGCTTTAGGACTCCTGGTAAGTTTGTCCTTTGGCATGGGGAGGGTTTAGGAATCCTGGTAAGTTTGTCCTTTGACATGGGGAGGCTTTGATATATTTACAGCAGCAGAATAGCATTTTTACACCTGTATGTGATTCATAATTAGTAAAAAAAAAATGATGCAGACATATATTTTATACTCTGTGATGTACAAATGTCTGAGGAGCATGCCTTTGTTCACATCTTGGTTTCCACAAGATCACTTTGCTTTGATACGTTTCAGTTTTAATGGAATTTGGAAGGCATATAAATATACAAAGGCTATCCCTAAATTCAAGGGTGACTGAAATAATAAAAATATATATTAACATGTTGCTGCTGATTGGTCAACATATTCCAATCAACAAGTATAATACTGTTTGAATTTCCACTAATTTTAAAGTACCGCTCAGCTATTTGATAGTTTTTATGTGTATGATTAATGAGAATATGGACAACTGGAGGCAATGCCAATAAATAATTAATTGTATTTGTTATGGTTTGTAATATGGGCAAATGAAGGCAAACATTTAACAATGAAAGTACATTTTAAATGCATTGACGCATAAGGGAGTACAGTATGTACTTTCAACTTTTTAAAGATATATAGCTAAGATAACATTTTTTTGTTACAATCAGAGACGTATATACTACTGGCTTTATACGCCTCTGATACAATTCAATGTTTTCAAAGAATGCACCAAAAGGATTCAAAGTGTATTACTATATTATATATATAAGTCTAAGTGGTTACTACATGAGACTGGGGTATATTATTCCGCCCCTTGTGGTACTGCTGTCATTTCACCAACCAGACATATTTGTCCATTCGATGTTCACTAAGATGTAGACACGTGTTTATTTTTCCGGTCATTTCATCATGTCAAGGTGATTCTCTTCTTGCTTAGCAAAACGAAAAAATGTGAAGGTCGCAGTTGCTAAAGGTCAAATGTCAAGGTCGGCAGATTACTTTTGAATCAAATGTAGGATATAGAAGCATGGATTTAAGCGGGTGAAACATTGTCAAGGTCATTTGGTCAAAGTTCAAGGTTGCATGTGTGGAATCAAATGTTACATTTTCAAAAATGATAAATATATTTCCTTGGCTAGTCAAAAACGTTAAAAAGCACAACTTAAAAGAGCACATTTGGTCTTTATCAGAACTTGCTCTGGTGTCAATTTTGTATACTGTTTTATCGAGATTATTTCCTCCTAATTGCATGGAATTTATAAACAACAAACGTAAATTCCCAGACAAATACAATTAGTTCCTATCAGTGAGTTTATTGATCACGTGGTTTGTGTCGGACACTTTCACATGTACACTTGCCTAACCCACAGTCTATAAAACAGAAATTGATTGATTGATGATGAAAAATTAATTTCCCAATAGATGTTGTCTGACGGCCGTCGACATAGTTATAGGCTCTGTCAGACAGTGTAGCGATGACATGGCCATACAGTACATTTGTCTGTCGTCGTTACACACTAAAACGTCACAAACACTACAAAGACATGCAAAGCGTTTGGTGGCTGATTTGATGTGTGCCATTTCATGGCTTCGTCGTTTCGCCCATAAAAGATGAGATAAAA